TCTCACCACCATGAAGATGGAAGAATTATGGTATCTAGAGCCCCCCCCAGATGACAAAATTGGATTTTAGACCTACTTTGATAATACCACTTTTCTGTATCACCTCTCCATCACCTTTATATAAACACTCAAACCCACAAAACCACATTCAAAATCTCATCTGTGCACATAAAAACATCCCAAACTCCCTGAAGATGTAGGAAAAATGGTGTTTGGGGCTCCCACACATTGACCAATTTTGATTTGAGACCCAGTTTGATAGCAGCACTTTTGCATAATCTTCCTCCATCACCTTCATATCCACACTTATAATCTCAAATTATCATATTCAGCTGCCGCTCTGCCATAAAACACACACACACACCCTGATTATGTAGGAAATATGCTGATTGGAGCCCCCCCAGATGACAGAATTGAATTTCAAACCCACCTTCATAATACCACTTTTCCCTATTCCCTCTCCTTCCATCTGAAAAAGCCCAATACTGACACTACTTAATGGGACCAGGGATGCTTTTGAACAAACCACATTGGAATCAATTCCAACAAGTTCATAATTGTATTTGTAAGGTTGTAAGTGACCACTTATTAAGAGTTAAGTCTGCTATACTTTGATCTTCATCTTCATTAACTCTGATCATAAAAAAAGAGCGTGGTCCCTCTTCCTCCAGTTACTGAAAAAAGGACCTCAGTTGGTTAGCATGTTGTATGTATTGACACAAAAGGTTGTTTTAATCCAAAAAGAAAGTGTTGATGGATAGCTTGAGTGTCTATAATGTACCCATAGACGCTCAAGCTAATTTGATATAACCATAGGGGTTTTGTATGCTGTGCATAATCAAATGAATATCAAAGAAGGTGCTACCCGTTTGTATGTTTTGAGATGCAAACCAATTGGAATTCCACATTTGTCGAAATTGTCGTTCCTAGCTTGATCTGTCCAAACGAAAAGGTCACATCATCGGAAAAGCTCAAGCTGATATGAACTAGGGGTTTATGAACTGGTGTGAGAGGTATCAACTGGTGCTAGCACCGGCTGATATCTCTTTCAACAAATCCCTTACTTTTCGCTATCTCATCCCTCTCTTTCATTTTCCTTATGCCTTCAAAGGGTCGTTCTGTGAATTGTCTGACTGGCCCCCCTAAAAAAAAGAGAGCCTGTATTGTTCTACCTGGTTCAGAGGCAGCTCAACTTGTAGCCAAGAACGAGGCAAATGAGACCGAATGGGTTAAAAAACGTACCCAACAACTGAAAGATGCTCTAGCTAACCTTCCAACTCCGTCCACATCTGTAACAATGCAAAATGTTAGTCTAATTGATATATCAAACGCTGAACACAGGGAAAGCTCAGAAGACGATGAAGAACCCAACGACATTGACAACAATCTCATCTCGGACCAACTTCCTCATACCGAAGATGCTGAAGCGCCACCAAATACCACCACAACCTATACCGAATATGTTAAAGGAGCTTATTATAAATCAAAGCAACTGAGAGATGCAAGAAATTGGGCCAAGGTATTACCAGAAATGTACATGGCCTACATGACCTGTGCTCAACTTACTTCACGCTGGGGTGACAGCTCAGCGTGGAATATAGATCGAAACGAACAGTGTCACTGTGCGGCGAGTGACCTGAGGCATCGGAAGGTTGATACGGTCGACATCTTAGGTTTGTATATTCTTTCTATAGCGGGTTTAAGATAGTCCATACTTTCTTATTCGGATTCCTTACAATTATTCTTGAATTGAATGTTTTAGAACGCAAGCAGCTGGAGATTACATTTTGTAAATGTGTCCCTGATCAAGTTCGTCTCATTCGTATGGGATTCATCGGCGGCGCTCCGGTTCATCCTGAGGCGGCGTATTCGATTCGCCTACTGAGGCTACATCATCACATATGGAAGTATTGTACCGTACGTACACAAGGATTCTCGCTAGCTTTGGACGAATTCTTGGACGCACACAGTCCACTCATGCTGGTTGAGAAAACTAATGAGGTATGTACACTGAGTGAAAGAATGACTTACAATTTTAACTGAGGATATATTTCTTTCAAAATATTTCTTTCAGCCTCGCCTATGGAGACGTACTCTTTCTTTGGCCATTGATGCATTCAGACACATGCTGAGAATGGAAGAGGAGCTTACCATCCGAGCCTTACTGCTCACAGCCCTTCAAAGACTGGCCGATATATGTCCTCGGTGCTTTGGACCACTCCAAGAAAACGGCGAACCCGACGAAGCCGACTATGTAGTCTGCTGTGACGGCAACTTTCAGCATCGCCGACACAAAGCTGCTAGTAATGAGTCCGAGGAGAAAGAGGTATTGATACCATCTCTATTCATCCATCCAGATAAAGTAGCCAAGTGGGACCCGGGTCTTTCAAAGCAGGAACAGGAAAAGGAATATAAAGTATGTATTCAGATTGAATTTTAGTGAACAAGGTTGAGTTTTCTTTATTGCTGACATTCATTTTGGATAGGACCAGTGTACGTCTCAGCACACCGCTGCTGCAGATCACCGAGGTGCAAGTACTTGGAAGGGTTGCGATGAGTGCGGACTAATTGGGATGGCTTGTCGCCACGACCATGTCCTGACGTTTGTGAACGTGGTCAAAAGTGGAGAGAAGTAAGACAGTCTTACCTATCTATCATCTGCACTTGACTGATTATCTTTGATCCTTTCAATTTGTGCCAATATCAGGCAGTTCTTTGTGCTGGCTATGATTGACCAGTTGATTAAACAAACACGCGAAGTGGGCAAGCCTAACAAGCGTATTGCAATTCTATATGACATAGGATGTACACTTGAAAAAAGTATCTTGAAGGTATGTAGTCTATAACATGTTTTCTATATGTTTGAAATTAACAATCGATTTGTAATCTAGAACAAGATTTTTAAAGATGAGTGCGACCGACGTGAACTCAAGTTTGGAACGAGCGCGTTCCATGCCTTTGTACACCAGTGGTCCTGTCAGCTGCTCTATAATCCTCGTCTCAACAAGGGATGGGGGTTGTCTGATGGAGAGGGACTTGAACGGATATGGTCTGCCCTCTCCCCACTTATAAGTCCCAACAGATATGCGACCAAGCAGCATCGGTTTGATGCTTTGAATCTAAAGGCAAAACATTGCAATGAGATGTTACGCAAGAATGCTGGTTAGTAATCTTGTTCACGCGCTTCAGGTTTCAAAGAAATATGTTGCTGAATCATTTGTCTTATTCCAGTTCGATCTACGATGATGAAGTTGAAATCCACCGAGGCAACGTTGAATGCTTCTTTGAAAAGTCTGCAGAGGCTTCAGTCAAATAAAAGCGAATACACCGTGGGTTACTTTTCAGAACAATGGGAGCGCCAGAAGCGCTGCCAGCTTGAGGCAATGTCTGACGAGAGTGTAAAAAATCTTGAGGAGAAAATGAGTGAATTGCTCTACTTTGAAGAACAATTGAAACTTGCGCAGTAGGCTTATCTTTCATCCATTGTTGTGAAAGATAAGTTTGACTTTGTTTTTTGATTTTCTAGGACGGAGCTCTTGCAAAGACGACGGAAACGGCGCCGTCATCAGACAGAGGCCGAAAGGGATGCATTTCTGCAGTTACCGTCATTGATAGTGACTATCGAGAGTGCTATACACTCGGTTCTTGAAGATCTAGGTGGAGCTGAGTTTCAAGGTCTGAAAGATTTCAAATGTAAGATCTCTTTGCTTATAATACACCTCAGTCAATCGCTGACAGTTTGTTAACTTCATCAGGTTTAAAAGCAAGAGCTCTGGTACGGGTTCGAATGGCGAAAAAGAAGCTGTACGAGGCTAAGGTCGGTATCATCGTGGCACAGCAAAGGTGGGACAGGGGAGGATGGGGTGGGACCAATTTGATTGAATCATAACATTGAATCAAGCATCTTACATGAGGATCATCTTCGTTTTAGGTACAAAAAATCAACAAGGGCTAAAGAAGTTGATGACTAAGAAGCAAACAACTTTCAAGGCAAAGTTCGATACATTCAAGACACAGGTGGAGAAATACAATGCGATACACCCTATCAGCCACCTATCATGCCCTAGTCTAAATGAAGCTAAACAGTCGGATTTCGAGGATTCCTTTTGGAATGTAGGTCTACTCTTGCATCCCTTGGAGAAGTGGGCGAATGATCCCGGAACGAAGGAAGGAATCTCCGCGTTCCTCAAATATCGAAGCGCTACTGAAGAACTTCGACGGATCGGCAGGGAAACCCAGCAGATGGTGCTGGCAGCTCTCGAAACAGAAAGCAAGCTGGATGGCTTATTTGCTCGCTGTAATGGTGGTAAGATTTCATATTCTCCTTTTGACTACAAGATTAAAATTCATTCTAATGCTTGACCAATTGATGTACATATAGACTGGGATGCGAATGAAGGGAAAGATTTGATTGATATGGTCCGGCCGGGTCAGCGGATTTGCAAAGAGGTCTGGGAAGCCAATGTGACAGTATTGACGGCCCTGCACGAGAGTCTGCGACAAGCTTATTATCGTACTTGGATGGGGTGGGATTCAAATATCGCCGGTCTTCTTCGAAAAACGGTTGGACACACCCAAATGACAGTTGATGCGAGTGAAGAGCTGATTGTAAGCTGGAAGGCGTTGATGGGAAGAGGTAGAGATACCTGGGATAGAATTGTGAAGGCGCGTAATGTACAAGCAAGTGGGCTTGATGATCTATAAGTTGTGGAGCAAACATTGCTTGTTGATGATGATTTTGAAGAAGACGCTGGTCAGCCGAACGAAGATTTCATTGTAGATGATAGTGACGACAAGAGTTGTAATTAAATACATTACCATGTGCTGTCGTTCTGTTGTGTTGAAATGTGAGACCAATCGTGCGAGCCTCACTGTAAGGTCATTGATTCCATTATAAAGTAATCCATTGTTTGTACATATGAAATGTTTGATGGACTTCGATACAATGGAGTCAATGACTTTACAGTCAAGAACTCAGACCAATCAAACAACTGAGATTTGGCAGTGGAAGGTGGATTGATGCAGTGTGATTTGAATGATGCTAGCTAAGCTGATAGGTGTGATCAAGATCGAAAGTGATTTCATTGAATGTAAGGATTCTGAGTTGAGTGATGTGAGTGGTGGTGGTGGTTGGTTTGAGGAATCCAAGAAAGTACTCAAGGTGGTTGGGTGTTGGTGTTGGGTTGAACCGCGAAGTGTTTATCGCAAGAGTTTGATTCATGAGATAGGTAATATTGGGAGAAGTCGAATCGAAATTTAAGAAATGTTGAGAGGGTATGGGTGAATGAGTAGGTTACTTGTATGTAGATCAGGGTTGTTGTTGTACATACATGACGAGTACGAGGGCCCAGCCGGTTTGACTCAGCAGTAAGGAGGTAAGGACTTGTCTATGGACACGTCTGGGGCTGTAGACGCGTCCGAATAGGTCTTTGTAAGGAGATGTGTGAGAAAAGAGAGTCTTGAGACACGTCCTGCTTGTCCTTGAGTCTATAAGGGAAGAGACGGGCTTTACCCGCCAGGAATTACACGTTTTCCCTCGGGTATTACCCTAAGGGTCAGGTAGCCACAGGTGACTTGGACGATGTTATAAATTTTACGTAAAATAATTTTAAAACGGACTCCCTTTTTATGTTTCCCGTTTTAAAATTAGCGTAAACTTACGCTTATAAAAAGTATCCGGTCAACCTTTTGACCTTTTCAATGATGGTATCGCCCACTTCATCAAACATGAGATCAGTCAAGAAGGCCATCTTGTCATTGTCTTCGAAGGGAATGTTGCCAAAGCTTGGAGCGATTGGGTCACCACTTCGATTCTTTTTACGACCATAATCATCCAACATGCTTGCTTTTTACAAACGGTCAAGTTTAAAGTTTTACAGTGTCGTATAAAACTTGACCGAATTTTTAAAAAATCATATAAAAGATTTAAACTTGAAACCCCTTATTAGGGGGTGTCAAGTTCAATTTTTTTACGGCAAAAACCGTAAAATAATTTCCTGTCGTAGCATAAATTTACGTAAATTTTACGAAAACGGGAAAGTTTTTATGAATCCCGTTCTTGTAAAAATGTAAACATGTAAGTTTACAACCCAAATTTGAAGACCTCACCTGGGCTGTTTCACTCTCGGAAAAAGGTGGACTAGAGAGTGGATGCAAGGACAACCTTGCATCCTGTTACCAACAGTTTTCTCCTTGCCAAGCGGATAATCAAGGCAAAAAAGCCAAAAAGTCTTGATCATGGCCTACAAGTGATCATAAAAACTCGGCAAAGTTTTTTTACAGTCAAAATGTAAAAACTTTCCCGTGTTTAATTTTTTTTGATGTAAAAATTTGAACTTGACACCCCTTATTCAACTTGAAACCCCCTAGTATAGGAGTTGATGAGCGTAATTTTTAGAGCATGTCATTAAGCTCACCCGATAAGGGTGATCATGAAGAATATGTCACAACACTCATCCTGCACTACATACTTGATGTGGCCTGCTCCTGAGACATCTCGTCTTAATTGAAGCATTATTGCGGTTGTCGGTTTCAGCCTCGGCGGCTGGCCTGCCCGCCTCTGCCCGCCTCTGCTCTACATAGTAGTCTAATGTAAGCACTTGCCCGTTACATCGGTGTTGATCATTGAAGAATCAAGCTATGGATGACTCTAACGCTCATCAAACACTTGCGAACGAAGCCTTTTCAAAGTCCGGTGGTAAGACCTCTGCCTCACTTTGATCAATTCTGTTGTCTAATGCAGAACCCATCAATCTGAGTTGTAGAGACTGACTGTAACATTTCTACATTTGTCAAAATCTAGCTTCAGGTCTTTACGATCGAGCTAGACCAACTTATCCACTCCAATCTATCAATCGAATCCTCGCGCATTTGCCTGATCATGATGCTAATGTAGTTGAACTTGGAGCAGGAACTGGGATCTTCACTCGAGCAATCTTATCTAATGCCAAACCGGGACAAATCAAGAATTGGAATGCAATTGAGCCTGCTGTAAAGAGGATAACTGAAATCTTCTGATCATATGTGAACAAGCTTATTGATATGAACACTTTTTGCTTGCTTACAGGCTGGTATGAGAGAAAGTTTCATGCAATCGGTTAAAACATACTCTGCAGAAGGACCTTCAATTGGATGTGATCATGGTACTTTTGATTGCATGGAATCCATTCAATCAGAATTCGCTGATATGGTAACAGCTGCACAAGCATGGCATTGGACTGGATCAGATGCTGATTTTCAAGAGAAATGTGTAAAAGAAGTCTCAAGAGTTTTGAAGCCCAAGGGTTATTTTGTTTTGATTTGGTATGGTCCACTGAGGATTTTTGATTCTAGCCATTCCTTTTGTTTATCTATATTCTTGTACCCGTTCTAACCGAATTTGGTTCATTTCGATAGGAATCTCAAAGACCGGGAAGCCTGTGAATGGGCGGGGCGGATCAGGGATGCATACGAAGTTCACGAAGCTGGTACTCCCCAATATAGACTTGGTCTATGGAAAACTTTATTCCAAACCAAAACCTTCAAGGAATCTTTCAAGCTCTTACCACCTGATGAAATTCCTAACCAATTGAAATCGAATTCAAAGAAAAACGTAGATGATAGTATTGATGAATCTATACCTACTTTAACAGTCACTACTCAGACTCCTTTGACACTTGATGGTCTTCAAGCTAGGATCTTATCAAAGAGTTATATCACCGCATTGGATTCTGATGGTCAACAAAAAGTTAAGGATGAACTCAAATCTGTGTGGGATCATCATATTGTTGGAAACCCTGCTACAGAATGGATTGATGAGAAGACTGTCAAATTCCCTTATGTTACTCACTTATACGTCCTGCAAAAGCGGTGATTGGGCTATGTTTTTGTTTGTATTCCACAGCATTGTGGGAACGTCGTTTGTATATAAGTAGATCCTTGTTTCATTCTTGGATGTCTAATGAGTTATTACGCTTGTTGAAAATAGTATGCTACATAAGTGTTTGAGAAGCCACCTTCAGATACGATGTGAATGGGAGATGCTGGACTGTTATATCATGCTACCAGGATATACAGCTGCATAAGATTTGTCTTCTTTACCCTGACGTCATAGTTTTCTTTCTGTTTACCGTCTTTGAAAACATGAGTCATGACGTCATGATAGTTTACCACTTCTGTTTGAACCTTTCAGTTTCATCAGGTTTCATCTCTGTATTCATCCGTTTAAAATTCTCTCATTGAGTTTACCTTATGCTTTCTTTTGAAGGCCTATTCGACAAAAACTCAAACTCAAACCCACATGAAACCAACATATATTGATCCGATTTGAGCACCAGAAGGAAGCAATTGACTGAGATATACAATTAAAAGTCTCCTTCGAGCTCAGCAGGATCTTGAACGATATTTCCTTCTCATCGCCTAAAGCAATTGCTCAAGAGTCAAGTGGGAATCAATTTGGAAAAAATCTGCATATCCCACCTTGTCTTGGCCTCGAGTGCACTATTGATTATACCTTATGATTGCCAACTATCTCCGACATCAAACTATAGATCCAAGGCTCGGAAGTGATTGGTCATGATCTATTTCATTCAAAGATTCTCGTTTCAGTCTCAGAAAGCCGAGTGATACCGTTACGTGAGATCTATATTGTGACGAGATCAACTCGGGTATCGCCATCTAGCATACCATCCTTGAGACTTTGAGAGACTACGGATTGCATACATGCATTGGCTTCCTAGAGTCAGCTGACCGTGACGAGCCGATAATGGTCACAAATTTCTAAGCAAATATCGCATAGCGGGGCTTCAAGTCGGCCAAAAAGTGCCTAAAGTCTTATGCCCTTTGTCCTCACAGCCCTTCAAGATTTATTTTTCCAAAACCAAATTGCTAGGAATATGCTTCTCGGGTGGGGCTTTCTGAAGCGTAGCGTCTTGATGTAAGGACAGTTGTATCTTAGGCATTTTTTGAACCCCGATTACCTTGACCGTATCACACTCCGATATCGGATGACAATCTCCTTCTAATCGATGCATCTGAGCTGAGAAGACTCCTATCCTGACCGCTTTATCTTCACGAGATCAGAGAACTCAATACGTTTTAAGAGATTCTCTTGGCACACGTGAAACGAAAGACTAGAAATTAACATCAATCAAGCACAGGGAAAACTTCACAGCCTCAATCACCTTGATAAATATGCAAAGATATGAAAGTATATTTTGTCAGGCAGGTCATCCAGGTCAAACGACGTGGAGGGAGCAGCACAAAATATACGTTGCTGCACCACGTTATGACTCGAAGCTAATCAGTCACTCTAAGCTCACGCTGAGGGCAAATGCGACTGAGCTCTATCAATCGAAATGCATTTGATGGAGATTGGGACGAGTGGGAGTCAGTGAACAAGTCTCAAAGATTGACTCGTGACTATAGATATTCCCCCTATCGAGCTGGTCGAACAGATCCTCTTGAATAATGTCAACTTTGATATTTTTTGGACATCTAAATTCTGATAAACAGGTCTTCGAAGTTGATACGCCGTGACCATAAATCAGATACCAACTTTTTGGTCGACATCCAGCTCAATGATTTACGAGATCAATTGCTGAAATGAATTCATCATCTCTTAGACTTCACTAGAGCCAAGCTCCCTCCTTTGGAGGAACTTTTATGGCATTCCAACTGTCCATTCAAACTTCCATTAACCAAATTCACCATGTACGGTATGAGTCAGGATCCCCCCACTTCCTCACGCTCATCGGACTATCGGACTTAGGTAGGCATCAAGCACGCCTTTGGCACTTCTCAAGCCCATCCTAGCACATCTTCAAAGGTTTCTTTCATACCGCCAGCATGTGACTCTAAAGCGCCATTTTTGCTTTCGGCTTTCCTTTGATGACTAAATTCCTTAGAAAGCTGACCTCGGCGTGACACCGCTCAATCTTAAACGCCTCAATATTTTTGTACGCATTCTCTTGAGATTGTTGATCTTCTTTGCGGGGGTTCAGACGGGGTCTAACTTACTGATCCAAGCTTTCACCGCTGTGAGGCTGAGGTAGAATAATACTTGAGATATGAACTTCAATAGACTTCCATTATTCAAATTTATCAAACCTTTTCACGTTTTAAAATTAGAAAATGACGTTTGGTCTAAATTCAAGGTCCTTATCGGGGAAACTTCGATCACATATGTTGAAGAGAATCGATGATCTTAGATTTTTTCTGGAACCTATCAGGCTGAGTTGGGTTGACGAGGGCTGATGCAATCGTAGGTCGGGCCAGGGTATCAGTAAACACTAGACTCAGTGGCTCAAGTCACACTCCATCACCTCGGTGTTTGGTCGATCTTCTTTTTCTGTCTTTTCTCTTCTCTTCTCATTTTGACTTCCTTTGACTGTGCACTGGTGACTGTGATACCGTTTCTAAAGGATTTTGAAATCAGAAATGTATCCAACATCGCATTGGACTTACTTCTTCTTCCACCAATGCTTCTCATTGAAAACAATTCATGCATACATGGGAGTAGACTCGTTTTTTTCGAGTCCAAACCTGCAATTTTCGGGTTTCACTCCACACTCCACTCGCATCTCTAACTTCAATCGAAACACTTTTACGCAAGAGAGACAAAGTCCAACTTATCATCTAATTAGCGATATGACCTCATCTTTTCAAACCCATCCTCCACTCATACAGCTTGGTTTTTTTTTCTTGCCCAATGCCCGAAGAAGCTCAAGCATTGCTTCGGACAGAGTTTAATAAGCTCCTCTGACCTTTCTTTCTTCTGTAAGGGGAAAAAGGGTCACACGAATTAAATCTTTGTGAAATTGTTTTAAAATGCCATTCATCGGGGTTTGTCCTGCCATATCTTAGTTTGAAGTTTTACGAAGCGGAAAATTCGGAGCCGCATTCACGTTTTGATAAGTTGTTAAAACAAATTAGTTTAAATAAGCAATAAAGCTTTTCTTCACTCATCCTTCTCCTTCTCTCATTGCACACAAATTCTGTATCAAACCTTTTCAAATCTATCATAAGCTTCCATCTCCTTCCGGAACTTGATCATTCGAAGAAGTCTTTCAAACACAGATCATGCTTGAACCCATATTGAAAAGTCCCTTCAATCTGTCATTCTCATATAATATTCTAATTGAAAACACCTGGTTGCATTTGATCATCCTGGTCACATTGAGCTCAGTCAGTTCAAATTTTAAACATCACCAAGCTTATTTCCACCTATGATGTCTTACATCTTCACAGTTCTACGTCTAACTGATGCTTTGATTTTAATTCCTGTTATTTGTTGTTTGAAATGTCTTAAAATAGGCTACTCATGCAGTTCTCAGACGTCATGAGCCAACATTTTCGTCTTACATTTATACGCTTGGAATCTCTCTGACGATTCTGACGTTGATTTTCAAAAGTTTCTTAATAGCCTTCGAACTGATTTCTTTCCTAAACCTCTTGCTTGGAATTCAAATCTTGTTATATCGTCAATTTTGGCATGATTTAAAAAACTTTCCTGGACCAAAGTTAGCAGCTATAAGTCAATTTTGGTTACTTAGGGAAGCTTATCTTGGTAGAACTCGATTCACCATGAAAGAAGTTGGGGATCAATATGGAGATTGGGTAAGAATTGGTAAGTGGGTTTTCCACTTTGGATTTATCATTCATCATCTTCTTTACGTTGAATTATGTTTTATGTTTAGGTCCTAATGAGCTCTATACGGTAAGCTTAAATGCCTTATGGACCATCATGGGTCCCAAAGGATGGAGTAAAGGGGTATCTTATGATTCCGGAATCACAAAAGACAAACAAGGCGGAGATAGTGTTCTGACTCTAAAGACTTGTTGAGTATCATTGATATTACATTCCAAAAAAACTTCTCAAAACAGAATCAATCTGATTTTGAATACCCTCTTCGACAATGTGTTGTTGACAATTCTTCGAAATCAAACTGCACACTTGCATCTGTTTGTTGTTGAAATTCTAGTGCCCGACCATGCTACTAGGCGTAGAATGTCAGTATCTTCTTTCCTTATCTTTGTAGTGATGTTGAACATGAGTCTTAATTCGAGATGCTTGGCTTTAATCAATTTTCTTGCTTCTCGCCTTTCTGATTATATCTTTGATCATATCACATAGCTGGGATAAAGCTTTCACACCTAAAGCTATTCATTCTTACTTACCTGCAATCGAAGCTCGAATGGATCAATTATTAGGAGTATTGGATCAACATGCATTGGATGAAACCCCGGTGGATCTGTGCTTGCAGCTTGGTTACTTTGTTTATGATTGTTAGTACAGTTTCTTTTCACTTTCCTTCATCCTTTACAAGAACTTGAGACTCGGATTTAATTAATGCATATATAACCCAAAACTGATGAATGTCATATATATTCTCTCTCCATGTCTTATAACGTAATGGTCACCAAAAGTTATGACTGATATGGCATTCGGAGGTTAGTTAGTTTCCAAAGTTGATATCTAAAAAATCAATCGAATGATAAGTTAAAGAACCCCCGTTTGACTATAACCCTAAACTCTCAATCAAAGACGGAACAAGCTTACTCATCAATCAACATGATGAACATGGGATTTTAAGTCATATGGGCAGAGTAGTTCAACAAGTTGGAATCCTTAGAAATGTACCATGGTTAACTTCATTAGTCAATCAACTTCCAAATCAAAAGATCAAACAACAAGATCAATTTAGAGAATTCACTAAATCTATGTTCTTACGTCGTTATAAACAAGGATTAGCTACTGAACTTGATGTTTTTCATTATCTTGTGAGTTTTTAAGATCTATCAAACATTATCCTACAAAAAAAGAATTGGAATAAAGTAGACGAAGACACTGACCACTTTTTTGGGTCTGGCGGGTGTTTAAAAAATTTGAAGTTGGGAGAAGATTCAGAAACAGGTACTAAGCTCAGTTTTTCTGAACTCGTGGCAGATTCCACTTTAGTGATAATGTAAGTTTGAATACCGTTGGAAACAATATGATCAATGAATAGAAAAGATTGAATGAGTTTTCAAAAAAAACGCAAGTTTCAAAAAAACTGATAGATTTCATCATTTCTTTTACTATTCAATTTGATCAGCGCAGGAGCAGATACAACGAGAACGGTCATGGTGGCTCTATTTCTATACCTCCTTCGATCCCCAAAGCACATGGAAAGACTCCAAGGTGAACTATCAAAAGCAACAGACCTAAGTTCCACAAGTTTATCAAAAATATCATATTTAGATGCATGTATAAAAGAAGCCATGAGATTACAACCACCCTCACCAGCAAACATTCAAAGAATTACACCAGATGAAGGTATGATGATCGATGGAATCTTTATACCAGGTGGTACTAAAGTTAGAATGAGTAATTGGGCAATGCAACGTGATTCACGTTATTTCGAATCACCTGAATCCTTTTGGCCTGAACGTTGGATTGAAACTCCTTCAATTGCTAATCCACATAATCCAAAAGCATTTTTTCCTTTTATGATCGGACCTGGAACTTGTGTTGCAAAAAATTTAGCTATGGTGGAAATGCGTTTGGTGAGTATAATCTTTTCTCTCATATCAAAAGATTAAGATTTAATGAAAACTGACTCAAACAATCTCTTCATGTTTACGTTTGATTGCAGGTGATAGCTCATATTTTAATCAATTATAATCTTGAATTCGCTCCTGGTTTTGATGATATTGGATTTGAAAAATCTTGGACAGATGCTTATCTTTTATTAATCGAATCCCCTTTTTTGATCAAACTTAAATCAAAAAATGTTTGAAATCCTTAGAAACCCACCCATTCACTTTTCTTATTGAAATTTTCAAAGCAAACCTCATTTCAATTCCAATTTAAATCTTAACTACTTTTTTTATTTAAATTTTTGGTCAATTTTGACATTCTTGTTCTTCAAAACTTGTCATCAATCCTGTTTGTAACGTTTTTCATCTTTCAGAGAAGATTAGGATTTGAAATTCTTTACTTATGGATGAGCATCAAAACCAACTTTATTAAAAAAATTGAGATGTATTTTATGGTATTTTTGGTTATCATTTAAAATCAGGTATCAAATACATTATATATAAATTATCAGATTAGATTGAAATAAAACAAGGAGGATTTCAGACATTATACGGAAACCTTATTGGAATTATTGATTGACATTGATAAAAAAATACAATCCAAAGAAAATGAAATTGAGAAAAAAGAAGAAAACTTGAATGATATACTTTCAAAAACAATCATCAATCAAATCAACCAAAATCTAAACGTCTTGCTAATTTTCTCGTTCGATCATCATCATCAAGTACCATAGGTTCACCAGCTCCCACATTCGCACCTTTCCTTTTCTTAGCTGTCATTCCAGTGGTATTATCTTGTGGCGCAATTGGACGAGGAACAAGTGCTCCTTTTGGTTTTGGTAATCTACTTGGTTCAGTTGGATAAGGTTTAGATAAAAAATAATCATGTTTAAGAGCCTAAAGCGAAATAAATACAAACTTATCAGTTTACTAGGCAACCAGTTTTGGAAGATTTTGAGCATTTACTTGACGTGAGGTGATTCGTTTACGTGGATCATAGGTTAGACATTTTTCCAAAAATTGGATTGCGTCATCTCCTGCTGCACTAAAAAGTAATTCTAACGGTTGTTTCGGTTGACGAGGAAATTCAAGATAATCTGCTAAACGTTTATGACCCTATAATATCCAAGAGATCGAAATATCAATAACCCTATTCGAAGCTTTTGTTTAAATAACAAACATTGGCAGACAGAAAGAAACTTAACTGGCCATTCCTGTTCAGTTGGAGTCCCAAGTGCTTTAAAGATTGTATTTAATTGATCGAAATCACTTTCACCAACTAAATAAGGAGTCCTCAACATTAATTCGGCAAAGATACAACCTGCTGCCCAAATATCAACTCCTGCAGAATAAGCACGTGCACCATAAAGCAATTCGGGTGGTCTATACCATCTAAAACCACCCAAACAAATTCAATCAGTCTGAAATTAAGATTTAAAGAATTTGGAAAGTTGAAAGATTAAACGAACCTTGTTACTACTTGACACGTCATTCTTGTTCCTGGATCAGCATACTCACGAGCTAATCCGAAATCAGCAATTTTAAGTGTACCATCAGATGCGATCAAAAGATTGTTGGGTTTCATATCCTACAAGAAAATCCCATCATAATCAGATTCAAAACCTCAAAAAGGCTTTTTCAAGAAATGATGATTGACTTACACGATGTAAAATCCAATTCTGATGACAAAAATCAAGACCTTTGATGGTCATATACATCCAACTTTTGATATCTGATGCTTGAAAAACTAAACTACGATCTTTGATGACTGCTTCTAAATCGGTATCTAAGAATTCTAATACTAAATTAAGATTTGATTTTGATGAAAAGACATCTAATAACTATTTTGAATAAAAAAAAAAGGAAAGATCAGAAGGGTGGTTTCTTTTTCTAGAGATTGATTGGAATTATTACTTACTCCGATCACATTTGGATGACTTAATTCTTGTAAAAATTTAACTTCTCTTATTGCTGACATATCTAATCCATCTTTAAATTGACCTGCCTATTCCCAACCCAAACCAAAAAAAAAACCAAAATCAGTATGCATTCTCTAGAGATCGATCTCATGAATTTTAGAAAGCCGAATGTAAAAAGTTTTCTTAGATAGTTACTTTGATTTTCTTAATAGCCACTTTTCTACCCGTTTTCTTTTCATGTCCTTCGTAAACACTTGCATAAGTACCTTCACCAATCTTTTTTTCTTTTGTATAACTTTGTTGAATTCTCAAGTTAGCTAATTCGGCTGCTTCCATGTTTTTGTTTTTTCTGATTCGATTTTCTGAAGTGATTGCTTGGGTGGTTTGGATGGTTCGTGAAGATAAGGAAAGGCCTTTTTACATTTTCTTGATGATTGAGTGTTGTTGTGTTCGGTTTGTATTTGCCGAATGGTTTTGTTTTGAAAATTCAAATTTAACTGTATGTACACGCTACTACAGCTACTACACCGTCACGGTACTGGGAACTTGGAAGTCAGGTAGACCACCAACGCCAAAAATATCCGCAACAAGAACAACCAACATCAACCACGACAATACTCAGCAGAACAATCAATCAAAATGGATATCGACTTTGATGATCTCGTCACTAAACAACTCGATCCAAATGATCCATCCAATTCACGTCTACAAGCAGACCATGCGAACCTACTTAGCTCACTCGATCGCGCCACCCGATCACGTCAATTAGCCGTCCCAACCAATGAAGTAGCAATCCGAGTGAGACTACGAGAACTCGGAGAACCTATGACATTATTTGGAGAAAGACCTGAAGATAGAAGAGATCGACTAAGATATGTTTTAAGTCAGATTGCAGAAGCAAAAGGATGGGAATTAGAAAAAGATGGAATGGAAGAAGATGAAAATAAAGATGAAGAGGAAGATGAAGATGAAGATGAAGAATTTTATACCGAAGGAACTGATGAACTTTTAATGTCTAGAAGGTTTATTGCTGATTTTAGTTTAGCTAATGCTCGTAAACGGATTATTAGACAAAAATTAGAAGCTAATTTACCTTTAAATAGAATCATGTCAACCAGAAAAGCCGTTTATGCAGAATTAAAGGTATGGTGATTGAACTAAGATGACTCAGTTTGAGCTTTGAGGCTAACTTTTTGGAAATTCTATATTTATTAGACTTATACTAATCTCGGTTCTCAAGTGGGTGACGAACGTCCAATCTCGATGGTCAGATTTTCTCCAAATTCAAAATTATTAGCTACTGGATCTTGGACTGGTACAGCAAAAGTTTGGAATATACCAAGTTGTACACCCTATGCAGATGAAAAGGATAGTAAGAGTGTCTTTAAAGGTTAGTCATATCTTTCTATGGATCCTCCAAAGATTTACTTTTGGTTTCAATCGGTTCAACTCTATTCCTACCAGTCACGATTCCCATATATATCGCTCCTTTACGAAGAGATCACCTTTGTTGTAGATCTTTCAATATCAATCTTGTTTTTTTTATTCTTTTCTATTCAAAAGGACTCTTGAAAAGATCCATGGCTTAACCTCTTTTTATCGTCAACTCTCTCTCTCTCTCTGATCACTGTCGCCGTCAACAGAGACTGACTAAACTATCACCCAAGGATGATCAACGTCGATACTCGGACTGACGTCGTCTGCGCTATTTCAATCATCCTTTTGCTTTCTCTTTACATCTATTACGCGCCTTGTGCATCTTAATCTTCCGAATATGATCTCGGCGATTTGGCATGACTCAGGTCATTCTGATCGAATCGGTGGATTGGCTTGGCATCCGGAAGCTACTATTGGGCAATCAACTTCAAGTCTAAATATGGTCACAGGTGGTGCAGATTCAAAAGTTCAATTATGGTCACTTACTTCGTACGTTTCACTCTATTGAAATCCAATCAGATCCAATAAACTTGTATAAAATTTAAAAGTGATCATGATTCTAATGTAGGTGTACCTAAACTTTTTCTAGAGAAAAGCCATTAAGGACATTAGAAGGACATGGAGGACGAGTTTGTAGAGTAGCCTTTCATCCAGCTGGACGTCATGTTGCTTCTGCTTCTTTTGATACTACTTGGCGTTTATGGGATGCAGAAACAGGTACCGAATTGTTAACACAAGAGGGACATTCAAGAGAAGTTTATAGTTTAGAATTCCAATCAGATGGAGCTTTACTTTGTTCAGGTGGTTTAGATGCTATCGGTAGAGTTTGGGATTTAAGGAGTGGAAAAACTGTGATGGTATTAGATGGACATGTAAAAGATATTCTTGCAATTGATTTTTCTCCTAACGGGTAAGATTTTATTAACCCACACAAATAAAAAATGATGAATTCTGAACTGATGTGTTAATAATCTTTTGGAATGAATAGTCATCAAATTGCAACAGGATCAAATGATGATAATATAAGAATTTGGGATATAAGATCATTAAAAGCAATTTATACGATACCAGCACATCTTTCATCAGTTTCAGATGTAAGATTTTTTAAAGTAACACCTAATTCGAATTTCAAATTTCCATTTACATTAGATTTGGATTCTAAAGAAAAAGATGCTAAAAAATCTGCAGCCAATTATTTGACTGGTAAAACTTTAAAACAAGAAGAAGAAGAAAAAGAAGAATTAGATAGAAGGGTTTTAGAAGGAAAAGGTGAGGGTGGTAAAGTTGAAGAAGAAGTTGAAGTTCCACTCAGTGGAATGTATTTGGCCAGTTGTGGTTATGATGGATATGTTAAACTTTGGTCTGCTGATGATTGGCAATTAGTTAAAGCTTTGTCTAGTGAAGCTGGTGGAAAAGTCATGAGTGTAGATATTGCTAGAGGTAAGCATTTTCTACTCTTTGGGTTGAAGTTTTCAATATTTGTTTCCATTGAGAAATTAACGATTTTTTCTTTTTGGAACTTGAAATCTAGATGGAAAATTCATGGCATCTGGAGAATGGACTAGAACATTTAAACTTTGGTCTGCTGAAAATGTAATACTTTGATTTGAGTTTTGTTTTATGAAAAGAATAGATTCAAAAAAATGCATATTGAAAGATGAAAGATGTGTTATTTTAATGGAAGTGCAATTGAAATGATTTGAAGATGTTGAGACATTAGCTTTTTTTGATAAGTCTCTTCCAGTGTGTACTGATTGCCAAAATAATCAGTTAACCTTTTTCCCTTCCAGGGGTTTGTCTTGAGCTGAAGTTTGTAATATGAGATGCTTAAATCCAAAGTTATTTTTTCTAAAGTGTGAGCAAGAACCTCTTTTAGATCATCATGTACTTTGAAAATTTTATTTGGGTGTGAGAGTGAGTCATTCTTCAAAGGTCTCTTTTTATGTGCTAAAGCAAGAAATCTACCAATCTACCCTGATGTAGTAAACTCCTTCCCGCCAGCCTGAGGAACAGATGAAGGACTTTGTTAAGATCAACTTATCCTTCTTGGCGTGGTAATTCAAAGATTGTGGTTTGCATCTACAGCAATACCTGTGGGTGTTTTTGTTGAATGAATATTGATAATCGCACTAAATGAGACCCCGGATTGGTAACTTGAAGATTGAGAGACAAAAACAAACATGACCAAAAACAAGTGAAGAAAAGATGCAAGGCAGATTGAGAGTCAGACTAGACCACATGCGGAAGCTTTGAACAACAATTTCAAAAAGCACTTTGCTAGCTAAAAAAAGAGAAGAAAGGACACAACCAACACCCCTCCCTGATCTCAAAGTGCACAACACCAAATCATCACTTCCACCTTTGCCCATTACACATTGCAAAACCACAGTCACATGTGATGGACTTTACCAAATTTTGATAAACCTATCACATCAACTCTCATGATTTGCCAACTTGTATTATTCAGTGAGTTGGTGGATCAATGGGGTATCCAATTTGTGCACCTGATCTCTTGAACCACTGGTTCACAAGACGCTGCACCCATTCCTTTGTTAATTTACCATTGTCTAAAATGAAATTTATGTAATCCTCCAGATGGAGATCATCAGACCAAATACTTGCCTTGAATTTCTTTTTGTTAGACTGCTTAAGTACAGCTGTTGGATCATTCATTGTGTGGTATCTCCACAACTTAATGATATCCTCTAGAAATTCCCAACCACTTCTACAAATAGAGATCCATACAGTGTCTACTTGGTCCTGATATGTGAGCCATAAGTTTGCAAGGAATGATGGTAGAATCTCTCTTTGCATTATTCTTATTGAATTAACAAGTTGACCTCTCAATGATCCCAAGTGTAAACCTGTAGAAAAGTCTTCTGCGCTAGTCAAGTCTTGGGGTGGGTTTAGAAGTGCTTGAATGATATTTTTTTGGGATTGATCAAAGAAGTCTGTGATTCTTTCCAGAAGGCTGTTGGGTATTTGAATTTCCCACATTCCAATATTTATAAGGAAATTCACATATTTATCCTTCAGTACAGGTAAAATCCTCTGATTGTAATTCCAAGAGTTTTAGTGGGTTCTGATGCTGTGATGATATTTTGTAAGTTTTGTGAGGATTCTCCTTTCGCATCTTGCCAGATCTTTTGATTTGAATTGTGAATTGCCTTGCCATCCTCAGCATCAGTTTCCAAATTTAGTGGAGATGTATCCCAATTGTTGTCTTGCATAAGATAGTTCTCAATGGATTCAAGGTGAGCTTGAAGTAAGCCTGTCTGAGGTGAACCATATTGATGTGAAGGTTGTTCTAGGTCTTTGAATTCATATTGCGCATGAATTGGTTGTTGAGGGGCAGACTGCATCAGATCTATCCATTCAAGATTCTCAGCATCCTCAGGTGTGAGTTTACCAGGGACAGTGATAGCAAGGACTACAAGGATAAAAAGTGTACAGAAGAGCAAGAACACAGGCTGATGAGCTTTCATGGTGCTTGTGAATGATGACCAGGAGCTTTAGACAAACGGGGAATACCAGAAATCTCTGACCCCATGTGTTTTTATATTGCAAAGCTTGGTACACATACAATTCTCAAAACATGAAACAATGGTGTTTTTTGTGTAACAGCTCACAGAGTTATTTTTGACTACTCAGCCTCAATGGTCAGGGTTTTTGATTGTGTTTAAGCTTTTGTACCTTATCTCAAAGCCTTTTTCCATAAGTTGTTTCAAACTTGTACAACCACTCCATTATGTGTTGGACATTGAGAAAAAATAATGAAGGTTTTTACTCACATTAAACTTTGAAATTTACCACTGAAAACCAACAAATACACCCCTTGCTGTTGTAAATCCAGTTAAAAACTGAATGGTGATTTTTTTCATTTTTCTCAATGTCCAACATATGATGGAATGATTGTATCTGAAGATTTCCAGAATAATTTCCTAAGAATAACTATGATCCCCTTGGTTCAGTCACATGTAGACCAGGCAAAACACAAAACAACATTTCTTTGTGTACCAAAAGGCTTACAGAGTTATTTGTACCTGCTCAAATTGAATGGTCAAGGTTTTTGTGTGTGTTTAAGCTTTTGTACCCTATCACAAAGCCTTTTCCTTGAGTTGTGCCAAACTTTCAGTTGAGAAGTTTCAGGATACTTTGTTAAGCTTAACTAAGCCCCTCTCCACATGCCCACGCCCGTGTTCTCAAAGAAAGGCATATGTCAGATTTGTGATTTTTGGCATAGCCTATAGGGCTTCCAAGATTAAGTTCCCGTACGTACTTTTTTCCAACTCCCCGGTGTGACCAGAAATGGTCCTATGTCTTATTTCAATGGCCTAAGAATGGCTGTATGGTTGTTGAATCAGATGTGGATAATGTTTTCTTGGAAAATTGGGACAGATGGGAAACCTAAAGAGTTTGTGGTACCAACATATGTAGAAAGGTTTGAAGAACAAGATAGAATAATTCTGGGACTTTTTGGAGAGGGGTAGAGGGGAAGTTGAAAAAGTTACTTAAGGGTACTTAATTCTTGGAAGTCCTCCACCAAATAAATTGCAAGCCTGCTGTATGCCCCTCTTTGAGGGTGTTCACATGGCCTTTTAGGGTGGTGTATGGCATGTATTGACCCTGCCTGGCCAAGCTTGCCCAAGGATATCTGGGAAGAAAGTAGTACACGCCCCGGGTCAGCTGAGCTTGTCCTGGGGAGCCCTAGAAGCCCTATCCTGGGCTCAGGCTCTGAGGGTGCCAGCCCTGACAATCTTGGTCTTATTCATTCAATACAGCTTCAAAGCTGGCCCTTTTTTCAAGGGATTTTGGCTAAATTGTATACAACACTAGCTGAACAGTACAAGTGAAGGGGCTAGTATACCTTAGAAGATCAGCCATCTAGTCAAAGTGTGGTGTGTTGTTGACCTGGTCTGCTTGAGAATGCAAGCATGTCTTTCCAGTGCCGTGCAATGCCCTGGGGCTGGCCATGTCACCTCAGGTTCAGGCTGTAGCCCTAGACCTCCCTAGATACCGTATGTGATTCTGAAATTCAACAAGGCCACAATACAATGCTTGGTCCATTTCTCCAACCTACTTAAAAAGTGGCCTCAAGGTTCTTTACATTCCTGCTTGGAACCTTTGAGTTGAAACCTGCTGATACACTTCCTTCAAAAAACATTGTTGAAAATCACACTCACATCCAGCAATGTTTCAAAAGATAGGGACACTCTCCAAAGTGAAGCCACCCTCCATATTGCAGGCTTGATACAAGTTGTAACTAGAGTTAGGATGGGGCATTTTTTTCCCAGAGACACTTTTACACAAAGTTCCAATGATATGAAGAAGGTTTTGTAATGAATTTTTAAAATCAAGTGTTTCTACTGATAAGTAAGTAGTGTACACATCTCCATGCCAAGGATCTACAACCAGTCAGTTTGAATGGTACCAAACCCCGGTACCACAACCTCCTCATGGATTTCAGCTGAACTAAATTGCTTTGATTGAGGGTTATGATGTTCTTGTTTCTTGTTTCTATCTCTTTGTTTCTGGTTTTGCTCAATATATCTGGCTTGATCCTGTCAAATGGATTGAAATTGATATGAACTAAGAAAATTCTCCAATTCCTAGCTCTATCTTCTACATTGCCGCGGTACCTTTGCAGCACATGAGTGAATCCAAACACTCGGAGAGGATTGTACAAATACATAGGTCTTTTGAGCTATGATTTGATTAAATTGAATTTGAGAGATGGAGAGAGTAGGAGAGAGGAGGAGAGAGTCAATATAGTGTGTGACAAGTGAAGACATGATGAATAAAATTAATGCATATATGTACCACTTACTAGAACTGAGTATTGGTATCATTTGCAGACAAGGTATAACAAGGTGATGAGAAATGTATATATACCGCTGACAAAAGCTGAGTGTTGTTATCATCTATAGACAAGGTAAAACAAGGTGATGAGAATGTGGTTTAGTACCACTGTTGTCCTGATTTCCTGTGTTGTGAGGGGCTTTCCGGCAGGTGAAGTTCAGTTCAAATAAAATCTTAGTAGGCCTTTGTATGTAGCCAAGAATCATTTCAAGCTTTCAATAATTAAGTTCTGCTAGTTGAGAAAGACACACAGTATCAACCTATGAGTTGTTGAAAGCTAGTCAAAGTCCACAGCACCATGGAAAATATGGAAAATAACAGTGATATTGATCATGAACAGTTCTAGTGGTGATTGCATTTCCAGCATAGTTGGCAAAAACACCTCAATTTCAAAACTTGCATTCCTGGAAATAAGGAGGACCAGATCCCTGAGTGGCTAGTAATAACAGCTTGAAGTGGGTGCATGCACACATACTTTTGCTCATTTTACTGATATCGGTTGAAGAACTCAGATACTTGGTCACAGCCCATTCACTACTTGATGCTGAGGACCTACACCACGGGGCGGCCGGCATGTGAAGATCAGGTGAAATTGGCCTCTGCCAATAAATCATACGCTCTTCACACTATGCCACATTTACCGGCGCCACATGAAAGCCAGTGTGAACATCACCTGACATGGCCATGTGATCACAAGGTGATGGCTCACCTGGTCATTAGGTGAGAAGGCTCACCTGGTCATAGTGCAAGTCATCTCACCCAATGAACAGGTTGGGTGAGATGACTTGCACTATGACCAGGTGTCCCATCACCTAATGACCAGGTGTCCCATAACATTATAACCAGGTGATGGGACACCTGGTCAGGTTCACCTTATTCCAGTCTTGTTTCATTAGACACGAATCTATTGTTGTGGCTCAGGCATCTCACATCCATATCATTCTTGCTACATATAGTATATTGCAGGGAGACTGGAAACAATACAAATTAGAAAGGAAATAGTAATTACACTCATAACAAAGCCTAACAAAAAAATTAAGAAAAAAAAAAAACGAGAAAAAAGAAGAAAAAAAGAAAATCATCTTAAACTTCAGGTGAAACTTCAGGTGAGCCAGTGTCTTCATCTACAGAAGGATCATGAAGCCCATTTACAAATCCATTTTCTTCATCTTCTTCTCCATTTTCTCCTCCTCCTCCTCCTTCTTCTTCTTCTTCTTCTTCTTCTTCTTCTTCTTCTTCTTCTTCTTCTTGATGTTCTTGAATTTGATTTTTTTTCTTCTTTTTGTCATCTTTTTTCTTTTTCAAGCGGTTGAATTCATACATAATTTCGTCTTCCGTAGAGGGAGCCATGTCTTCTTCTTCATCGATTTCCTTGTAAGCCAAAGAGTGTTCAAAATATTGATCATTAAGCTCCATGATCGAGTTGTAGAACCTGGAAGGAAAAGTTGTCAGAATATTGAAACCCTAAGAGACGATATAAACAAATAAAATAAAAACTTACGCCTCCTTGTACAACTTTCCATGCTCTGCTTTCTGAATCTTGAGAAATTCCAGCGTGTCATCAACACTTCTCCAGACACCATACTTGTGATCAGTACTTGGGTTTCGAAAGGTGTGCACAGCGTGTAAGCGCTATCAAGGACCAATCATAAATATCAGTTGGATCCTGGGAGTCAAATTATTTGGAGTTGGTCATCAAATTAGCATGACAATCATGATAAGCGAACAGTCAGAGACTGCGCCAGCTATACTTGTCTTGGAATCTGATTTGCAGTCTTAGTGAGATGCTGGGATTATTTGAGTGCAATCTTGTTTTTCCACAAGCTTGAGCTCTAAATTAAGTGCCTATGTACCGAACTGGCTTGTGAAACATGAGGGAATGTATCTGACAGATTTCAGCCACGTTTTTGGATGCTGACCTGAAGTGCGTAATAAGCTGGAAAGTCCTCCCTTGTCATCGATTTAACCCTTTCAATGTACTGGCATCAAAGCTACCTACATCGTTTTCACTCATCAGATGGCCAAGGAGCGCGTCGATCGTGTGTTTACAGCCTGCTGGTCAGTCTCGGATGGATCTGGACAAACAAATCGCCTACATACCCTCTTCCACAAGAAAAGAGGATGGTTTTAAACCGGTACACGTTGACTTGATGATCCCGGACCCGAAGGATGGAGGTACTCTCTTGCCTGGATATGAATTCAGAATCGATCCTTTGGCTCCTCTCATTTTTCCCTTTGCAACTGCTGGCGATGCAAGTCAAAATGGACTCGATGTGTACAAAAATCATTTAATCAAGTACATTATCCCGGAATCTTCTTGAAAACGCAATGGGCCTGTACTCCGTAGTTCACGAGTCATGAACATCTGTACCCGGTCGAAGTCATACAAAATCAGTTGCTGGTGTTCATGTACTGAAAAATTCGGTTACAAAGTGTCCTTCTCGGAGTCGTCGTTTGAAAGCTTGCAAGACTCTTCGAGGTCATATTTGCACCGCTCGATCCTCGCGTCTGCCAGTTGCTCAGCTTGCCAGAGCCTTCGAAACAACATTCAATGGTCTAAACCACGACAGTACATTGTTAGACGATCTTTCGACGTGAAAAGTAGTGGCGGTAGTATGATCTGGATGCGCACTCCACAATTCAAGTGGGTAAAGATTGCTCACATAAAGAGGGCTCGCGGAAAGCTTTCAAGGATGTCGTTTGTGATGGGCCGATCGTCCCGATCTGATCGCTTGTAAGCCTGACGAGGGGAAGCTCTGTATGCCCAGGACAACTATCAGCTCTATGATTCATATTGAATCCAATCAGACTCGCAGACCTTGATAAAAACACACCAGTCGGATTTCGTGCTTCACGTCTGAGGCTATCTTGGCTCTTCCCGAGTCACCCACAATACAAGCGTCAGGCATCAGGCATAGGCACTTGATCTATGTTGTGATGGAATTCAATTGCAGACGGCTGATGTAGATGGATGATCGCGATAAAAAATAACCTCGAGATGAAACATAGAGTATTGTATGAGGATGGCCACCCGATCACAAAATCTCTAGTTGACTGGATTGTTCAACAGGGAAAGAACATGATTGATTTTTCAAACCGATTTCATCAAGCCGGAAGGATGCCACTTGAGTTCAATCCGTTCGGTTAGAGCTCGAAGCAGATCTCTAGGAGGGCTTCGAAGAGCAATACGAATTAGAGAGTCGCCTGGACATCGCGAAGTGATTCCTTTGAAACCAAATCAATATGCTATGACCTTTCACCCCTTGAAAAGACCGATATATACTTGCCCCAAAAGTTTCGTGCTCTAGGGAACTGGATCAACCTGAGGAGGGGTCGTAATCGGGATTTAACTTACATAACGAATCTGGTCGTTCTCAAAATGTAAAGGTGAAATGAACTGAAATGCACGCCCAATCTTTACGAAATGCATCTCGCATGTTCACAAAATATGTCTCATTTGGCTGAGGATTCCTAGCCCGATGATAAACCTAGTCATCTCCCTCAGCACCTTCTTACCCGTGTATACAGGTCAAGTGAAAGTCAAAGACTTCGTCGACGTTTCTTGCACTCGTTTCTTTCCACCGAAATCATTACTCAAACCACACTCTTCAACAATCAACTCTATCCTTATCCGCTGCAAAATCTACTTGTCTTCTCACTCCCAATTTGGCTGCTATCAGCCTTTAACAGATCGCACCTATCAGTGTGATCAATAACAACACGAAAGAGGACCTTATTCTTGAAAAATCTGTAAGCTTCAATATCATCTACTCTCCAATCTACTCGTGTTCGTTTGGGTCACCATTGGTAGAGACACCTCTCTCGCTGCGGTTTCGTTGATTTGGACTAGACTTTATCGTTCATCAGACTTCACCGAACTAGCACGTGATAATCAAGATGCAAAATCACTGCTCAACATCTGACTATAACGACCCTCAAGGATTCTATCGAGAGGACTTTACTTTACCGCATACCCGTTCTCAAGGTGAGTCTTGTGAATGTTCATCTTCCTCATATCAATCTGACGAACCGAATTTCGTCACTTGTCGCGATCCTCAGATCGAACAACATCACAACCATTTGAAGAGAAAAACGTGCTTACTACACACAACTTTGCATACCGTAAGTAATGCTACCAATCTCGACCGCTGGTTGATTTTCTCTGTTCTGACTTTCGACGGGAACTTCTCGACTGTAGTTGGGGAAAGACCACTGGTGAACACAATTCCGGTCTATCCACCTTTCTTAACGTCCCGTCGAAGAACGTCTTCCGTTTCATCCGACGACCAATCAGGTGAATTGATCCGTTCCTTCTTTCCTCATACGATCATATCTCAATCTCAGTGTTTCTAGACTTTTCATCTGTGCCAGATATCTCTTTAAGCGCACCCATTTCCTCCAAAGAGCTGGCCCAGTTTTGGTCATTCATGGGTGATACAACAATGCCGCGTAAGAACTACATCTCCTGTTCTTCATCAGATTCGCTCGATTGACCGCTTCAACTCATCGATTACAGTCTTCGAAAGTCTACCAATCATCTCCGAAGGTAGCGCTTTGGCTCTTCAAGACCTGGAACAAGGTGAGTAAAGAGCTTGTTCCATTTCAGATATGTAGTGGTCCTGAATCCCACGGTTCTGCCTCTTAGGACAGCTTGGTATCTCCAGCCAGTCACCGTTCTATGATAAACCTGGTGCATCTTCAGAGGCAACCGGTGTACCCTCATATCACAATCATTCGGGTAGGTCACATGGCAGCAGTCTGAAATCCATCACCTCTCCTTTATCACTTCTAGCTTATTGATACCTCAAAATATCTTCTACAGTCTCAAAGAACCCTCACTCGATCCTGATCGGACCTCCCTCGGCTCCCCACAGACTTGACACAGGTTAGTGAATAATCAATCGGCGTCTACACTCAGAATAATCCTGACATACGCATGGTTGCGATCTACGCGCTTGGGTATTCACACAGTCTTGCTACAGCCTTCTAAATCCGAGGAAAGCAGCATATCTACAGAGCTACTCCGCGCACCCTTATACCAGGACCAGTCGAGTAAGTGTTTGAAAGTCATTCGGTTTGTTTATGTACTCTTTTTAACTTCTCAGTATTGCAGATGCTTGGAGCTTAGCCAAATTTGAAGGCGCTTCAACAAGCAACACGATCAAACGCAAACGCTCACGTCTGTCTTCTGAAGATACCAGCGTCACCAATGAGAGTGAACCTGACTTCATTCAAGAAAACGGGCCAAAACGAGCACGCGTTGCTGTCACTGAGACACCGAACAACAAGAATATATATATATGTAGTCACTGTAGATATGAGACCGAAAGACTAGACAATTTCCAAAGGCATCTTAGAAAACATTTGTCGAAAGTAAGATTGGAGCAGGAAGGTGACTTGCGTAAGTGATGCATAGCCTTTCTTCCCTCCCGGAAACAAAATGATTGAGCTGATTCGCCTCCTCGTGGCATTTTCCCGCGTTAGACAAATGTACAAATATAGGATGCCCCCGTGGGAAACCCGAAAAGGGTTTCAAGTTGAGACAATATTTGAAAGCTCACCTGGAGAAATGCAAGTTCCCAAAATCGGTGTAAGTGACACTGCCAGATATTCTACCTTTGATCCATATAGCAAATATTGAAATACTACATCACTCATTAGGGCCTCATCTTCATCTCATGACTCCGCTTCTTGAGAATGCCACTGGTTATCATTCCGGTGTTACAAATCACTGCAAGCTTTACATTATTTGCCGATGTACATAATAATGAAATTTACGCTGTGAACGTGATGTGAACCTGAAGACAACGCTTATCGGACACTAAACCAATTCTTTCAAGTTCTTTCTACGAAGATCGCCTGCTTTTTTCCATCCTTATCGGTCTACATCTATTTCGTATCGTCATCTGTGTCAAAATTTCAACCTATCAGACCTGGCTTGGTCAAATCCTCACATCTTTTTAGAAAGATCAACATATGTATTTGCATTTGTGTTTTGAGTCTGTGTCGCAGAATATTGTGCGCTATACCCATCTTTACCTGTCAAATGTGATCTATAGCTCTGGTAGCTTGAAAGTCTATTTCATATCCATGTATGATTTTGTCTTACACATCCCTTGGGTGTATACCATTGCTACTTTGCCAATAAGTGTATACATCGAGTACCTAATCCAAACCAATTGTCTGTGATATATGAGATAATTCTCAGAATGTACATCCGCTCCTTTCCAAAATTTTGATCATCCTGAGCCCAGGAAAGTGAGCGAAAATAGAATCACGCAGTTTGGGTAGGAGATACGTCCCTGAAACGTAAGGAGACAGATTCACCGAGTCCATAGGAGACAAGAAGATGACCACTTGCGGATCTGAGGCCTACAAAGTTTCCGGAGCTCCAGACGGATGAATCCAAACGCATTGAACAGGAGTCAACAGAACCCACAACCTACATACGCAGAGAGTTCCAAAGCTCCACCGAAACAAGAGGGGAAGAAGTGTATGTACAATGCTTTAACCCTGCGCACCCGTCGATGACACTTATGACCTTGTTGCGAATCGAGAGCGAGTCAAAGGCAACCTGGCGATCCTTGACATAGGGTGTTCCAAACCTGATCATTAAAAATATATATTGCGATACACCTCAGCCAGGTGTTTCCTTGAGGCTCATTACCACTTCAAATTCCCCCTTCATTTTTTTCGAAACCATGGTATACACATCACTTGTGGATACGTTCTGGTATCCTGAAAAGATTGTAACATGTCAAAATCCTGCGTATAGCACGGTATTTTATTTAATCCCATTCTGGATTCAATGCTCTCTCCTACATCCAAGCTTTTCCGAATATTCAATTTTGCGTTTGGTTAGATTCTTATTAACTCCATTAAACGTCTACTTAGGAATCAAAACACCCATAGACTTCTGTTTTCAACCACTCACGAAGAATGCCGGCAAGAACTTAAATCTGGGAATAGCAGGAATCTACTTGGCTATAAAGTCTCTCGAATGGGGTCTAACAGGGGGATACCATAGTGGGAAGTATTGGGATGTACCCGACTCAAATGAATCTACGAAAAATGACCAAAAAGATAATCTAACCATGAAGGGAAAAGGTTGGAAGGAAGTTTCAACCTGGACCACCAAACAATTTTTCTCGTAAGCTTTCCTTTAGGTGTCCAGCTCCTGAGACTATCTCTAAATTATTTATTGTGAATTTTTTGCTCATCTCGCTAGTGTGCGAGGCCTTCAGTATGGCTGGGGTGTGAAAACAAACCTGGTGGCTCCGAGCGTCCTTGGGGTCATGCGAAGATATTTTTTGGTCCATCTACTCTACATGGTCTCACTCGCTCCTCTAATGCTAACTCGCGATCAAGGCTGCCCGGATAATGCATTGGCTGCTCTCGGGGTGCCTTATTTCTGGGGAAGGACAATACTCGCCGAAAGCATTGCTACAATTTCCTCCATGATTTTCACTTTTTCAGGGATAGACTTGACATTCTCAACCATCACTCTTGGTTGTTATGGAGTACATTGGTTGAGTAAATCAATCCCAATTCCTCAATGGGTTTTAGAATTATTCGATCCGAAACTTTGCCCGCCAATTTTCGAATTTCCAAATACTACAACCAAGATGTCACTTGCTTGGTTCTGGGGTAAAGGCTGGCACCAGTTGTTAAGAAGAGTTTTCCTGGTAGGTGGTGGTACTCCTGCAAGTAAATTGGCCAAAAAGCTTGGTGCCCCATCAATACTTCAAAAAATCATCGGTTTAATCGCAACCTTCTTCGTCAGTGGTGTATTACATCAATATGGTGAGAAATTTTCAATTTTAATTATTATTTGATTCAACAAAAGACAGGCTCTGATTCAAAGTTTGAATAACATCAAATTCATCTTATCACCAAAAAAGCCATACACTGTGTTGCACGTCAACCACATCCAAACCCTCACAACTTCTTCAAGGATGGTGGAACATTTTTATATTTCTTCATTCAACCAATTGGACTTATCATGGAACCTTTCATCATTCCTCGTATTCCGCGTTATTTGGGTGGTGGATGGCTTTGGGTTCTGATCTTCACCGTCGCTACTTGTAGTCCATACCGTAAAGAGTTTATTGATAGCTCACGAATGATTGATGATTCTTACAAGCCTCTAAGTGAATGGACTTGGAAAACATTACTGATTCCAGGACACATCCAAAGATGATGATCCCTTCTTTTTTCACATCTCTTCATACTATCTATTCTACAGCCAAATTCTTGGGTGTTTCTGGAAACTCTTACCTGGATTCTAATAGCTGTACTAGTAGGACACATATAGCTATATACACATCATATACCAAGCATTGTTCTTGCTAGGTTTTAGTAAAATATTTGAGATTACAAAGATGGTTTTTGATCCAAAACCAAGGAAAGACAAAAAAATCCTCTTCAACTCTTTTATCACATGTTGAGCCACATTGGTATTTACAATCAATTTTGGTATACCATTCCACCAACATGTTGACTATATTACTGGCATATTCATTGATCTAAGATCTAAATATTTCAATGAATTGTTTCTTGATCTGAATGTAATCAATTTTCCCCAGGTGAAAATGACTTTATGGTTGGTATTGTTATGAGTTGATGACAAGGCTCTTGGCCAAAGAATGAGTTCCTCATTCAATCTGATCCCCATTTTGCTCTTTTTTTCCTTTTCCCCCTTGAGATACCAGGCCTTGTTACAAGATTACTTACCTAAGAAGTGCACCTAGTTACTTCAAGTTATCAAAAATCCAAGATGATCAGCTATTATGATCACAGGGCTCCAACAATTCAATGTTTTCATGACATGGGCAAATTGGTGCAAATTCTATCAACTGTAGGTCATGAATCTGCTATCCTGAAATTCCATGCTGTCCAACCAATCCATGATATGATACTAATTCATTCAAAAGAACATGTGAGCAACAAAAAAAGAAGTGTCAAACTTTCTTTATTTCGAGTGAGATATGGGAGTACTTGGTTCTCTAGTCATACATAAAAAGACCAAGGAGATTCACCTGTCAAAACATAAGGAGACAGAGTTTTTAATGTGGTTCACAGAGAAAAACTACTACAATAAATCAGGAAGAAATTAGTAATCTTACTAAGCACTTGCAATCGCACATCACAATTGATCACTTTACAAGTTACCTGCTCACATTGAACAACGCTTGTGACCACTCTTTGCTAGCCTATAAATTGGTTGAACACGTGTTTTTCATCTAAAAATTAAATCTTTTGGGGATGTAACTCAAGCTGAATTCAACCTTGTTTTGGAGTTATGAAAAGTGAAAGGTTCTTTTCAATTATGAAAAAACATGAATCTTGAACAAAATGAACAATTGAATATCTTCAATTCAAATTTGAATTTGTTTCATTAAATGGGTCAGTAGAATTTTACGCGCAATGTTTTACGCACTTTTTTGATCGTAAAGAACAAAGTGCGTAAAGTTGCGTCTCGTGTTGAGAAAAGTGCAACTTTACGCTCAAAAAAGTTTTTCGCTTCGCTGTAAAGCATTCATTGTAAAAAAATAGATTGTAAAATTGTCCTTTGATACCCTCAAATCTTTACTTTTACGCACAATATTTTACGCGTAATCGTATAGCGCAAAATATGACATCGCAAAGTTGCATAATCCAATTGCAAATGTGCTACTTTACGCCACCAAACCATCATTTTGCGCTGAACAAGTCACCATATGGGATGTCATATTGGATCTCATAACCAATAGATGATTTACCCTCAACCAAGAAGTAGAAGCATCACCGCGAATTGTGTGAGCATTGGGAGTCATGATACTTCTACCCCCTTGCGTTGTTTTTTTCAAAAGGACGCAAGGGGCCTCACAAATTTAGCCAGTCATACTCATGAAGGTGAAACGTATGACTGGCTCGATTATCGAAGATACGTAAGTGTGACTCGCGAGTGAACAAGATCCAGGGTCTCCCCAAAAGGAACACCGCAAATCAACAACCAGTAGGATCTTTGATTCGACCAAGAATTACTGCCTTTCCAATCCTTCAGTATTTTCTTTGTTTTTTCTGACCTACAAGCTATGAAGCAAAAATCTTAGTTACTTGCCCGTTTGAAAGACCATGATCATCGGTATGATAGCGAGGAAGACTTCCATCAGGCTGATTGAAGCGATACCAATACCAGCGAGACTCATACAAGCGAAAGTGAAGATGAAAAGACACGTGCTATTCTCATTGAGCCAGAGGACAATTCTGATTTTGAAGATGTGGAGGAGGCTGACGCGGATGATTTAGACCAAGCTCAGTCAACGGGCGACAGTGCTTCCAAAATTTCCCTTTCACAATCTCAGACCTCTTCAATCAGTAAAAAACCAACATCTTCTCCAGAACTAATGAGAAAGAAGAAGGACAAATTACTTTTGAAAACAAGCTCAAAGACTCATTCTATTTCAACTGCGCCTAAGAAAGAAACTTCAAATGCTCAACATATCAAGCAGTTTAAGATTAAGAGCAAGAAGTTGCAAGCTCGGCTCAAGGAACGTCGCAAGAAATTCACTACACCACATAACCCGGATATGTTCAAAACATTCATTGATCATGGTACAATCATGGATGCACAGTCTTACCCTCTCTTCATCAATGGAAGTACTACCTATGTCACGAAGGACACCGAATCGATCACTAATTGGGGAACGTTTGGTTACACCTACACTATGTCAGGAGGAGATGTCAAAGGACGGTGGAAAACCACCAGATATAAGTGTTTAGGGGTGCTCAAATGTACAAATGAAAGCTGTAAATACCGGGGCTCACCTCCCACTGGTCGCACAAAAATTTCTAAACTTGTGCAACAGTAAGTACCTTCTTTAGTTATTTCCGGACTATCTAGAAATTGAAATCTCCTGACTTCTCTTTCTTCATCTGAAACATAGGCAGAAACCATGCAAGGTCCCTCGCTGCCCAGGGATTGTCATCCATGTTGCATGCAAAGATACTTTCTGCCGACTAGATGAATGTGTAGAGACTCAGTGGGGACTTCTTCGCCACATCGGGACTCATGACCACCCATGGCCAGTTCGTACAAAGGCAGACAAAATTTCAAAAGAGGAGTTCGCAACTGTTGTCAAAAATAATAGCAAGTCTAAGCCAATGCAATTAAAAGTTGGTTAAACTGTTCTTCTTATATATTTTGATCTGATATCAACTTGCAATTTGTTCTGGAATGCATAGACAGGGCAAGCACTGGCCGGAAAAAAGCCTATCAAAAGTGTCTCCACCATTCACGTAGCATATCGAAACCGCTCAAGAATCGCTTCTGAACGTCGCTCGGTTCTGAAAGACGCTGGGATAATATCAGACAAGAAGGGTAAAGGTGTTCAAGACGAATTTGTGATTGATATGTTGAGTTGGGCAAAGTAAGTCCATATTGAGATCTACATCTTCTAGACTCTCATCTTCGGTCATTAAATGATACTAACGCTGATGTTTCTTAGGCGTGGTTTAGATATCATTTATATCACCATGACGCCCGCTAATGCACATATTTCTTTCCAGACGAAGTGGATGAAAGAGCGACTGCTTACTATTGATGATGATGGACGCGCTTACAGTGGTGGTCTTCTTACGGATGTGACATACAAGCTATTTGCAACAGGCTACCTATGCTCTACAACAATGTATGACAATGACCTCTGCCGGTGGATTCCAGTTCTATTCACTTGGCTCTCTGGTTTATCCGAAGCACACTATCATGCACACTTTTTACAATTGATGAAAATGGTGAAAGACGCTCCTATCACTCCACCTCAGCGGGACTCCCTTATTCGGACTGTGGTTGATTTCTCTGCTGCTCAGAAAAATGGTTTCATACAAGCTTATATGGATGTCTTTGAAGAATATGATAGAGACCGAGCACTATCAAGGCTCAATGGATGCCAAGAACATTACAGAGCATCTGTCACTCGGCTTAAGCGCAACTTCGCGGTCACAGGAGGTCAAGAGGTATGTTATACTTACTCTTCTTCATTTTATGTTCATGATTTCTCAGGTTGGTTTGAGTACATATTTTGATTACTATCCTTCATTGGATAACACAGGATGTATTTGAAGGATTGGCACTAGGTCTACTCAAAAAAAGTAATAGCAAAACCCACGACGAGAAACTTGATGAATTACGAAGGACTTTCCCTAAGGCAAAGAATTGGATTGATTGGTGGCAGACCTCCGATATAAAAGCAATGCTATTCCGTTCGCGGCAGCCCCAAATGGATGATTTTGACCTTAGTGAGGATGAACTGCCAGAAACCACAAATGCACAAGAGAGTATGCACCGTGTGATCTACATGATAAGGTATGTCAGCTACAACTCTACGTGATTAATTGGAAGACTTATTGAAAGTGTGTCTGAACTTACTGGTACCATCTATGTAGTGAGACAAAATGCTCCATACAGATTGGAATGGTCCAGCTCTATGCTCTTGTCAAGACACTGGAGCGGGATCATGAAGATGTTATGCGTGGAATCACAGTGGAATATGGATCGCTCTCTAGGCACTACAAGACAGTTGCTGAATCTCTAGGTTGGACTCGAAAACATCGAAAACAGCGTGCAGTCCCAAATGATGGCCGGCCACCGGACACCACTGAGGCACTTGGTCTCAAAAGCAAGAAATTAGGACGGCCAAAGGGTTCACGGAACGTTGACAGGAACCCAATCACCACATATCAAGGATATATTGCATCATCAATTACTGGTAGACAATTTCGGTGCTGGGAAGAATCGATGCTAGAGTGTCTCTATGCCATTCACAACCCTCTATGGTACCGTGGTAGTAGAGGAAAATCAGGTGACATTTTCACAAAGATGATGCGACATTTTTCAGCACGTACATCATTTGACATGAACCACTTAGGGGATATTGTCAGTATCCTCAGCAAGGGACAGGATAACCTTCATGAAGCAATAGAAGATGCCTACAGAGGCAGCTTTAAACCGGACACTTTTTCATCAGCCGAGCTTTTCTTGGAAGGTTTGTTTGACCCAAGAAAGAACTCTTCTAAGGCTGTTCAAACAATATTTCAGGTTCAACGCGAGTGTCGCTACACCTGCTCTCGCAAGTGTGCCGAAGATCATGAATCGGATGACCGTAACAATAAGATCAAGATTCGTAAATTAATTGGATTAAACCTTCGGCCAGAAGACTTTGAAGCTGCTGATCTTGAATATGGACAAGGACCCGAGCTTGTTCAAAAGCTATGTTCAGTGGGTGTTTACTCCCAATCAAATTATCATTGTAAACCATGTATGGATGATGATAAAAAAGCAAAATTGATCCTGGAAAAGAAAAAATCAACATTAAAGACTGCCACCGCAATCCCAAAAGCAATACCTCCGTTCTGCTATCAACTAGTTCAATAAAACCTCACTTCACCTCCACTTCACCTCTACATCCATCAGGACATTACACCACTTCTCAGTCAGAATCTTCCATATGATAGTTTTATGTGCGATTCAAACTGGCCAGCAACGATGAAATTGGGAGGTAATGAGTACACTTTGAAGGCACGCGGGTACTGGGGTAACAAGCATTACTGGTGCAAGGTAGTTTGAACACTTGGCGGAGTGTCTGGAGTATGGTTGAATGATGATACACTCAATAAGGGGATCGCTCGGATGCTAAGTAGTGATTGTAGCAGTATTGCTGGACCATCACCAAGCACAAGCTGGTTGATGTATTCTCGAACGTATAGCAAGAGCGAGCAAGCAATTGTCAATGAATCAAACGAAAAGATAAGAAAAGACAATTCAAAGTCTAAAGGCGGAGCCAAGCTAACTGATCATCACAACCATTCCCATGCAAAAGACTCTTCATCTTGTAAGTGTATATCTGCCAATAACCAAATCTGTCGAGTTTTCACTGAAAGCGCTTGTTGTTCTCTTCTGTAGCAGATAAATTCTTGCTCGAAAATGGGGGCAAGCGCAAGAAAAAAGCAATAGATCATGTTGAAGATGATTCATCAGAAGAGGGGAAATCTGGTAAGTCTTGTTTTGTCGGTGTTTTAGCCATGTGGTCTAACTCTTTGTGTCCTCTGTCCCAAGCAAAACGAGTCAAGCTGGTGGATGACATGAAGCCTGCATATTCACAACTAGTTGCCGATGCCACTGCGTCCGCCACAGCAAAAGTCAAACAACAAGTAAAATCCATCAAGACGTGTAAAACACAGGAATCCAACACTGTGGATGAGGCACAATGTGGAGACTCGAAGAGATCTCATAAGGGCTGGGTGTGGGTTGAAGAACGGCCAGAATCTAATGATTTACTGCCCAAAGACAATCAGCACGTTCAAAGTCAGGTTGAAACCTCCTCACGCCGGACACGATCAGGAAGAGCAATTGGATAGCCTGTCTTTTCCTGATATTTTTTCATCCTTACTCTCATTGAATCACTTTTTGTATTTCAGTCGATTTTTTCTTTTGTTTCAATCTTATACTTATCAGCAATCAATCGATAGCGATGCTCAGTTTAATTACCCTTTGTTTATAGCTCTTAATAAGTTGAAAAGAACTCCATTCAAAGCCATCTCCTACATGTTCCTGTTCTTCAGGTAAACAGGTGCAATCAACAGCGAGTCTTGAACAAAGCGGTTGAAGTCACAATTTTCTAATGTAGATTGCACAAGGATCTTGTGAGTAGTTGAACATGAACAAAAGGCCTATAGCCACTGGATGTTTGTGGGATTTTAAATTTGATTTTGGGCCCTGTGTGTTAGTGACTTGTTCAGCGCAAAATGATGGTTTGGTGGCGTAAAGTAGCACATTTGCGATTGGATTATGCAACTTTGCGACGTCATATTTTGCGCTATACGATTACGCGTAAAATATTGTGCGTAAAAGTAAAGATTTGAGGGTATCAAAGGACAATTTTACGATCTTTTTTTTTACAATGTATGCTTTACGACGAAGCGAAAAACTTTTTTGAGCGTAAAGTTGCACTTTTCTCACCGGAAGACGCAACTTTACGCACTTCGTCTTTTACGATCAAAAAAGTGCGTAAAACGTTGTGCGTAAAATTCACCGACCCCTCATTAAATACATGATATGCAAATTGAGGTACTTCATAAACGAAAAAAAGAAGCAGAGCTTCATAAACTTTAAATTTTACAATACATACTTCATATATTCATGAAAAAAAAAATCAAGTTCAAATCATCATAACAAAATAGCAAGCACAAAATAATAAAAAGCTAATGAAGTGATTGGTTTTTTTGTAATAAGATGATGAACCTGAAGTAATAGAAGAAGGAGGTGTTTGAGGTGTAGCCATAGGTGAAGGAGAAGAGAATGAAGCAGATGGTCTAAAAGGAAAACAAGAAATCAATCAATCAATAAAAAAGAAAAGAAGCCATTTCAAGTAAACTTTTTTTCACTTACGTTTGTGGTAGAACAGGAAGTGAAGCAGTAGAAACACTATTAGATGAACCTGTACCTGCAATCCTTCCAACGACTGGAGCTCCAGTTGGAGAACTAGGTGGGACGGCTACGATTATACTAGAATCTAAAATGAAAAAGATATCAAATTTAATAAAAACCTAGTGGAGAGACGATTTGGTGAGAAGTGTTACTCACTTGGACCTCCAATCACTCCTTTAGCTGGCTCAGGATGTGGTGGTGAAGGTGGTACAACAGGAGCTACCCCTCCAGTCATTCCAGACAAACTATTGACAAAACAGCGTTAGTGGATTTGGATCTGTATGGTTGGATTTTAAAAAGGGTTTGTGTGTTACTAACTCAAAGTGAGCGCTGAAGGCTTGGTATGGATCGCCTGGGTGATCAGGTACAGCTTGATCCATTCGAATAAAACTGTACCATCAAATGAAGTTTCAATAAAAGATTAACTCTTATAACTAAAATAGAGATAGGTGTTTAGAACTTACTATTGGTTTCCATTTGGTCCAGTCTTTGGGGGTATAATAACGTTCATAGTACTACTTTCCTTACTAAAAAATGGGTGTTCAAGTATTAACTAAAACAATTCTAAAACTTTGGTTTTTGTTGTAAAAGTAGAAGAAATCCATTCTCTTTTAACTCACGGATCAATGTGTCCTAATTTGATTAATTCGATTTGTTGAGTTTCACTTCCAGTCCAAAGTCCAACATTCATGGTTCCATAAGCACTTAACTCAGGTAAAGCTTTATCATTTGTCCAAGTAAGAAGCTATAATTCAATCAATCAATCAAAAAAAAACATTAATCGAAGGACTTTACTGGATCAATCGTAGTTTAAAAAGAAAAAAAACACTTACGCATGGTTTTCCTCCAACACAATTTGTACTTTGAACTGGTGAAGTGATAAAGAGAGAAGCATGAGAAGATCTCAAGCTGACCAAAACCCCAAGTACAAAAGTAAAAAGCATAGTAAAAAGAGTTATTCAAGATCTGAATAAATGAAATAAAGATCTTAATGAGTTATAAATTTCTTTCTTAAATGTTCTGACGTTGAGGTATGATCGATCAACAAATCCGAAAATAATAAAGATGTGAAATCTGGACGAGCAGTGAATGGCAGGTTAAAAGTACCAAAAATGGATGCGATGAAAATAAAGAATACGAGTAAGTCTCAACCAACAAGAAATCATCTCAATTTACCAGAAGAATCTTAAAGTTCAATAAGGACCAGTCCAGTGAATTCAAACATATCATTGGTTCAAACTTTCATCTTTCCAATTCGAATCTCAGTTCTCTTGAAGTTCTACATTCAAAAACATTCTTGCGTTTTAAAATTTGATAATAAAACCATAGACCGAAATCAGGGACATCAGGATAGCCTTCAGTTCACGTGATCATCTCCATCTTTTCTGGTCTAGCTATCTCATATTTTCAACCTGGTTCACCACACTTTAGAATCCTTCAAAACCCCTCGCTTCTCAGCTGACAAGATTGTCCGTAGCTGATCCCGGTTTGCCCAGCACTACAATAGTAATACCCTACGCAAAAAACACCTGTAATTGCCCAACATGCCGGATTCACAAATCGTTGGTCGGAGTGCCTCACTAAATAATTTGAGGCCTTCTTGCCGAACGCTTTATGCCGACGGAGACCAACGCTGACCGCGCTTCCGAGCCAATTGATCTCCGCGGACTCCATTGTTCCTGGCCCGGCCCCTGACAGAAACCTTGCACAATCAATAAACTTGAAACTTGAAAATGAGTCTTCTACTATTTGAATTTCCCACCAAAGATGAAAACATCTTCATACCTCATGAATTCAAAATGCAATTTATTTTCTAAAAAAAAAGTAGTAGACTCAGGGCGCATTCACTTGAACAATTTCTGGACAGAAATTGCATTCCAATGTAAAAATGAATCATACTCCACCAAACCTGCAGTTTAAATTTTGCCAAATGCAATTTCTGACCAAAAATTGCTCATGTCAATTGGGCCTTAACAAAATTCAAAGATCATCAATTCTTGAAATCTTGTGATCATTTATTCCATTTTTTTAAAAAAAAATCAAAATCCCTTGAGAAACCGAAATTCATTTTCTTTTGGATTTCAAAAAAAATCTCTCATCCTATCAAGTACACATATCTTTTAATCATTCATTTTTGTTTTTTCCATTAATCATATCTTAATAAACACCGGTAAAAAAGGTATATATATAATGTACAAACCTGATTGTAGTTTAACTTCTTATAAAACAAAGATCACCTCAAAAACAAGTTCACAAAACCCCCTCAACGCATTCTAACCCCCCCACATTAATAATACAAAACTCTTCAAAAACCCACCCCATCCAAACTTATAAAAATCATACAACCCCATTCATCCATCGGCCATCAACATTACATCTTAACCTCGAACCCTTCAAAATCAATCACTAAAATCATCCCAACTTACACCAAGCACTTCAAGATCTTTACAACCAATCGAAACTTTATTATTCTTATTAATCTTATTATGACTATGACTATGACTATGACTATGACTAGCTGAAGTCGAAATCTTTTTCTTCATTAGTTTCTTTTCTTCAAGTTGACTCATCGATTTAATTGTTTTATTAATGGTTGAATCCTAAATACCACAAAAAAAAATTCATTAGTTTTAAAAGAGTTTTCGAAAAGCTAATGAGTTTTTTTTTTGTGTGACTTACTCTTAAACCTCCTCTTGAACCAAGAAGGTTAAGATTCGAACTTGACTCTGGACTAATAGATGATCTCATCTGATTTATTCTTCCATCTTTCATTTCCATATCTTGATTTGATTCAAAGTTTTCAATCTCTTTTGGTACTTCTTTTACTTGATGTGTCCATGATAATGTACGTGAATCGATTTGATCACTCATTGTTGCTTGATTGATCATCTTTTCTGAATTCTATGATTTGTCCAATTCTCAAATAAATCAACAAAAGTTTATAAAAATCAACAGAAAACTTAACTTACTTGATTGGCTTTTGATGAGCTTTGATCTTTTTGATTCTCTTTGATGTTTGATGAAGAATCGACTTGAAATCGTTTTAAAAGTTTAGATTCAAGTTCACTTCCAGGTGTAAAATAAACTTCTTCCTTCAATCGTTTTTGTTCATATGTATCATTCACTGTCAATTGATTCTTATGAGGCTTGGAAGCTTTTTTACCTCTTCCTTTTGTACTTCCTCTTGGTCTACCTTTTTGGGTTGGAATCTCTGATTCTAATATTCCTGAGGGTTTTGAAGGAGTAGTTGATTTCACATATAAATATTTTTCGGCTATAAGTCTCTTCTTGACTTGAGATGCTGTCATCACATCGATTTCTGTAAAGGAATTGGTTCCATTAGTTTCAATTGGTTATCACTGGAGATAAGTGAGCAAAAACGAACCTAATCGATTCGCGAGAGTTTTAATAGCATTTGGCATACCTTCATCCTAAAAAAGAAGACCTCAAAAAAACGTCAAAACTTCCCAAACCTTTCTCAATCAATCACGAGAAAAAAAAACATGAAAAAAAACATACATAAATGATTTGTAAAGCTCTTCTAAAGATACATAAAGTTCTTAAACCTTCTAAAGAAGTTTTAATTTCATCTTCTCTTTTCCATGTTTCTTCTAAACTCAAATTCCCATGAATTTGACACCTAAAACATTCAAATTTGATTGGAATCCTTAAATCTTTGATAGATTTATATCCATAACAAGATAAATGTCGCCATCTAGAACATCTTTCACACATGATCATCGCAATATCGTCATGCCAATCTTTACATTCACACATTCCATTAGGTCCTTCATCCAGTGCGCCTTCATGTGATTTGATTCGTTTTTTAGGATAGAGTTCTTTTTCTGCTTCGACCATTGGTCGAACTCGACTCTTCTCGGTGAGAAAAGCTGTAGAATCGGTTTCTTCAATCGGATCTCCCAGAAGTGAGAGAACCACCGGATCATGTAGACTGCTGACCGGAGGATGTGATTTTGTGAATGTTTGTATCGGATCGTCTGGAAGATTGGTTGTTCTTCCTTGTTTTGTTTTTTCTTTTACAGGTGAAGATGGGATCGGAGTTCCCACTACAGATCGCAATTGGCCTGAGTAAGTGATGAGATGTTTTTCAAGATCTTTTGAGGAAACATTTTGGCGTTGGGGTTCTAGCAACGATAAGCTTTCATCTTCGATGGTTTCACTCCTACTATTTTCAAACCCTAGCGCTTTAGCTTTATCGTTCATCTCTAGATTCGGGGATTCTACGTCCATAGAATAGATATCCTCAGGATCCTTGACAGGTAATTGATGATGGATCTTTGCTTGTTGTACCGCTCGTGAGGAGGGTGGAGAGTTTTGACTGTTTTGATCCAACTGTGTGGCGATTTCGGTCGCAGATGACTCCGGTGCTAGATCCTCGTTATCTCGATCTCGATTTGCATAGGCTTTGGTCTCCAAGATCTTCACTGGTCTATCGGGTACATGGTCGATGGATTTCAATTTTGAGTGAGTCTGATCAGGTAAAGGAATGAGATTTCCATTGGGATCACGAAATCCTATTGGTTCGAGTTTCTCTTTCTCGTTAACCCCATCAATGTGACTGGATATCTCGGGTGGAGTAGACGGAGGATCCAAGAGTTTTTCAGTGTCCCATACAATTGGTCTTTGTTGAGCTTGTTCTTTGACGGTTTTGATTTGTTCATCGCGAACTTGAGATTCATTCCCATTGTGCGTAGTGTTTCCTCTTAGATCATTTGAAGGAAGGAAATCAGAAATCGTGGCCAATGCTACTCGTACACTTTTAGATATTCAAGTACAAGAAACCCAGATCATCAGAAAAGAAGATCAATCAAAGTTCATGTTTCTACCTAAAGATATGACTGACGTATGAAAACCGGTATCGACTTTTCCCATTTCAGTTGCACTAGGGACTTCTTCTTTCCCAGCGGTTCCAAACGTAAACCGATCTTTTTCCAGATCAGCTGCACTAAAATGAGGTGGTTCATAATCCAAAGGCACTCGTCTAAAGTAAAATTCGCAACATATAAGTATATAAAATTCTCGGGAAAACATCAAAATGTCAGGATTTCTTTTGATGAGAATGTAAATTTAACTCACTCGTTGTAATATAACTTGAAGGAAAGAAACCTTCTTCCATTTATATCTGATAAACTCTGAGTAGAACAAATCAAACTAAGAAAAAAAAAGATAAAAAAAGATGATGATGAATGTTCAAGAAATCAAACTAGAGAAAATTCAACAAAGAAAGATTGACAAAACAATCCTCAACTTTTTGATCAATGTTTGTATTTGTCTTTTAACCATTCCTCCAGTTTTGACATTTATATTGGGATCTGTTTCTTCAGAAATCGATACTTTTCCAGTTAAAGACATTTCTTTTAATTGATCTCTTACTTCCATTTCAGGTACTAATCTAGGATGACCAGAATGACTTGGACTATAAGTAAAATTAAACCTATGAAGAAAAAACCAAGGAGAAGTTTGATCAGATCTAAGATTTTTCTTCTTCTTTTGATTCGAAGTATAGGTTCTCTTTACATACGTATAACATTCAATCACATCTCTTGGTTTATCTGGATCGAGATACATAGCAAAGAGTAATTGTCTAAGATAACCTCTTTGAATAGCGTCCATAACACCTTCATCCTATTCCAGCCCGCCCCCCAAAAGATACTCAATGATGATCAGTAAAGAAAGATTCCAATTTAAAATTATAAAGAAATGGAAAAAAAAAAGTTCACACACCAAATAATTTAAAACTTGATCACTCTCTTTAGAAACACCTGGTTTAAGCTTCTTAACTTTAATATATCCTCTACTTTCTCTTACATTCTTTTGAAAGATTTCAGATGAGTTTGGTTTAGTTGAGTCTTGATTAGTTTGATGGTTTTCAAGTTCAGATGAACGATCAGGTCCGATTCTAAAAAAAATCATCATCATATCCCACAGAAAAAGAAAAAAGAATACGGTCATTAAGATATGAGAAGAAGAGATTTGATTATGAGAAAAGTTAGAGTCATTACCTATCATCATTAAAACATTCGTCAGGAAAAATCCCTCTGCAATGATTCCAAGCCGAAAAACCCAAGAAAAACCAAATCAATCAAACGGAATCCCCCTCAAAGAAAAAAAGATCAAGAAATGATTTTTCGCTAACCTAAGATAAGTGATGACCCCAATCCCAGTTTGTACTAAAGTTTGTACAATACTAAGACTTTGAGTAGAAGTGACTAATTGTACATCGGTAGAAGTCGAAGATTTGGTGGTAGTACTCGTTTTAGATTTAACAGATTGTTTTAATTTTTGTTGTGGAATTGTCTATTTAGATTAAGAAAATATCTTTCATTAGAGATTAATGTTTGATAAGAACAAATGAAAGAGATGATAATTTTAAGATGTTTACCTGAACTGGCATTCTATCTATCTGAAATGAAATACAATTTGATTTCTAAATAGTAGATTGATGAGAATGAAGATAGTTTAGTGGAAAGTTAAAATTATCTGAAAATGGTTTTTAGGAATTTCTTGTTGACCATTCTCATTTTGTGATCTTATGATTTTCTTCTTTACCATCTTTCAATGTTTCTGTTGACCATTCTTAGTAATCTTGGTTTGATCTGTTGAAATATTCAATCAACTCTTTTTCTTTACTTTTTTCATATTTAATATTGTATAATATAAAAAACAATTTAATAAAACAAAACTTAAAGAAATTCAAAACCATATCAACTTCACAATTCACAATGCTCAAATCAAAAACATTAAACCAATCCAATCTTAAAAGATGTTCTACTCTACATTCTCAATCATCATCATCTTCATTCATTCACATCACTGTTTCTTCTTGTTTGTCTTTCAACTCATTTCCAAAACCGAATCAATAGCAATACTCAATTGACCATGATGAGTGACCAAAACAACTTCAAGTACTTCTCTTTCAAGTTCACCAAAGATCGAACAAAGCGTATCAAGTTTAGCTTCATGTTCAGCTCTCTTCAATTTCTCAAACCGATTCCTTTTCTCTTCTTCTTCTTCTTGTGCTTCTTCCTTTAATTCTTCCGAATTCAATGCCCATGGTCGAGATCCTCTTCTTCTGTTATTACTCATCACCACATTCGGACTACTGTTCCTTCTAAAGTCTTGTACACTCGGCCTTGGTAAACTTAATCGATTCTCTTCATGTGTTTGGCTTTGGTGGATTGTTCTCATTTCTTCTTGATCATGTGAAAGATCATCTACTATTCTTGCAATCGCATTCAATGGTCTACTTACGGCTTTTTCAGCCAAGTTCGGTACGGTATTGAATAACCAGGTTCGGGTTAAATCAGGTATCGAACTCGATCCACTCATCAAGGGTGGTCTAACTGGATGGTCTGGATTAACTTTAGATGATGTAGATGTATTGGGTTCAGGATTCGATTCGGGGTGGGTGTTCGGATGGGTTGATCGGCTAGGTGATCTTGGTAAGCTCGAAATCGCTTGTTCTACATTCGATTCAAATTCTTCTTGTGAAATATTCGAAAGAACTGAATAATCTAATCTTTCAATAAATGAGATGGCTGCATTCTATTGAGATCGTAGAAGAAGCAAAAGTAAAAAGTGAAAATGTTATCAGGATTTTTCAAGTATCAATGTGTTTTTGGAAACTTGATTGATCAGAATCAATGATTTTGGGTTTTAGGTAGGACTAACTAGACTTGAAAGATAATATCCATTTTCACCTTGTAATTTATCTGGATTTCTAAACCGTTGAATATACCTAATCAAAACGGTATCATTCAAACATCAAGTTTTTGTTTTCATTGGTTTGGGTTTGGGGTTTCGTTCGTTTTTGATTGGTTTCTTTTTTTTTCCAAAAATCACCTAAAGAAACGAAGAAACGAAAAAAAGATAGAAAGATGAATCTTACTGAAGATTTGAAATTAAATGTTCGGGTCTTGCTCTTAAGACGACCAAGATTAAGATCGGTACAAAGATATCTGCACCACCTTCAGATTTAGAAATATGTCTAATCAATCCTTTATAAAAAAAGACAAAAATCAGGATTCAGAAAGTACTCAAAGAAAAAAAATGGATGTTGAAAAAAAGAATTTAAAAGAACCACATACCAAAGATAACTTTACTACAATTTAAAATACAAATCATTTTATCTCTTGGTGCTTTATAATCATTAATTTTAAGTAGCTCAGTTTTAGCAAACTCTAAAAACCCATCTGATTCATCTCTTTCTAACTTCAAATCTAAGTGTAAATCATTGATCCAATGAAACAAATTAAATTTTTGACTCAAGACTTCATCTCTTTCTAAATCATCTGTGACAGATGGTTGGAATTCGTTTTGTAAGGCTGGTGTATATGTTCTAGAATGAATGAATTGGAAAAGAAAACAAATCAGTATTTGTGTTGGTGTGGAGGAATGGATTGGATGGGAGGTGAGACTTACAGATGCCATACTCTGTTCATCACTAGTTTTTCCATGGCTTCTATTGCATGATCGAATTCTCCATCACTACATATACTCGGATCCCATGGACCTCCTTTAATTTCTCTCATCTTAATACTAATAAACTTTTCAAGATTCGAAACAAAAACCAAATTAGAAAAAGAAAAGCCAAGAATTTAAAGGTTAGAGTACAAGAGGTATGTGTGTGATTTTTTTTCTTAAGGGAACAACTTACATCTAAAAAATCATTAACGACTCTAACCTGTTCTGAAATATTACACAATCCATTCTCCAAAGAACTTCGTTTATTAAACTCTTTCAAAAAAGATCTCAAGTATTTCGCAATCGGTTCAGATTGTCTCCAACGCATTTGATCCAAGAAATGATTAAAATCAAACGATCCTAATGATTCTTCCATCGGTTCTTCTTCTACTATCAGACGTGGTGGTACTGATGGTGTGGGATCTGGATCGGCACTTGTTCCGCCTGGTGAGAGTTCGGTTTGGAAGGTTTGAGATCGATGGGTTGGGGATGGACTTGAGTGGGTCGTGGTGGGAAGAGAGATCGGTGGGTTGGTAGGGGTTGAGAGTAAGGGTCGTTTTAGGGCTGAGGTAATGGATGATAGGGAAAATGAATTGGTGGGTGTATGGGTTGGGTTTAGTGGGGTTTGGTTCGATAAAGGTGTACTGGGTTGGGAAAGTGGTAAGGTTGTGGTTGTGGGATGGGTTCGGGTAGGGTCTGGAGTCGAAGTCGTGGGAATCGGATGGGTTAATGAGTTTCTTCGGAAGATGTCGGACCATGTACTTGATCTAGATCTATTGGGTTCTATTGGGTTTGGAATCGTTGTGGTATCGTTATGATTGGATTCGTGATTTGTTGAGCTTATTGGAGGTTCTGATACTGGTATATTGGAATCTGTTGTTGTTGTTGTTGGGGTTGTTGGAATTGGTTCATGGGTTTGGATTGGGTCTGGTGTGGTCGATAGTCTTTCGGTTGGATGGTTTGATTCGTTTGATGATGACATGATCAACTTGTTTGGTCAAGCTTCAGATTGGATTGGAGAGAAGAGTGGATTGACACCGCGGGAATTAAATAGTTCAAACCCGGATTGAACCAAATTTTGGTGTCCGGGTTCGAAATTTCCTCGAATCGTGAAATTCGTTCACAACTCGTTTGCAATAGGTTTGCCGGTTTCCCTTGAGCGGTACCCTGTTGGCCCCGCGTGTGTATGTACAGCTTCATCATACAACAACAACCCTGATTCCAACCATTCAATCATCTTTCCTTTGTCATGCATCCTCAGTCTTGAATCTTATTCTTGATCCTCTTGAATCCTTGGTGACTGATGCTGAAGGGCGTTGTTGTTGTATGATGTAGCTGTACATATACAGGCCGAGCAGAGTACCGCTCGAGGGAATTCGGCAAACGTATTGCAAACGAGTCGTGAACGAATTTCACGATTCGAGGAAATTTCGAACCCGGACACCGAAACTCGGTTCAATCCGGGTTTGAACTACACCACGGGGGGATCTTGACTGTCTGGTGCCGGTCATGGCCTGCCGTCGTAGGACTGCCGCTCCCTCCGCTGTGAAAGGCGGTCAGTAGTCGGCCAGGATCTTGATGCCTTGAGTGCGGCGGCCAGGCGCATTTTGATTCGCCAGTATTGCGGCATGGCTATGATCTATAAGCGCCTGGTTGCGGTTTCCTGGCGGTCAAGAGCGCCAGAAAACCGTCAAAGGGCCATCAAGTCCATTTTTTTAATTTTTTAATTTTTTAAATTTTTTGAAAAGAAAGAGACAGATTGGTCAAAAAACGGTCTATAGGCAAGCAACTGAAGCGAGTTCGGCGAAATTTATTTGGTTGTATGACAGATCATAGGCATGAAAGCCTGTACATTTCACAGATGTTGTAACTTGAATAACGTAGACCAGGAGCGTTAAAGATAGAGGATCTCATCTTTATACAACTTTGATCACATCACAACATATAAAGAGAAAACAAGAAAAACAAAAGAAATTTAATTTTGACAAAATCCTTTCGCATTGGCGTAATGGGTGCGGTTTTATTCCTCCATATCTTCTCCTGCTTCCTCCAAACGCTCCATTTCTTCTCTGATCTTGTCTTCCGAAGGTAGAGCAAAGTCGAACTCTGGGTTGAAGTCAGAAAAAAACCCTGTGCCATCAAACCATTCAGTATCTTGGTTATAGACAAGTCTGTAAAACCTGTTGAGACAACCAATGTTAAGTTACTTAGAGAGTGATTTGTGGGACAATAAGATATTTCAGACTGACGCGGAAGTGTATAAGGGACCCTCAACTCTCAACTTGTGGAGCTGTTTGTTGACTCTGCTCCAAATGTTACCTCCACCTCCGCCGGATTGAAGGGATTGGAAAATGCGAACCGCCTCACGTCGCTGGTGAGAACATGCTAAGAATCAGTGCTCACGCGCGACAACAAGTATGCACCAAGGAGGACGAGCATGCAACTCACAATGTAGGCAATACGGAGGCGTAGAGCCAAAGGGGTCGTTGGCCAATAGGCCGAAAAGTCTAGGTCTTGCGTGCCGTCACCGCAGTAATTCGCAAGCTATGCACAGAATTGGAAACATATAAGACCGGGTGAAATTGACTGCAGAAGAGAGAGACTGACACGATGTAAGAGCCGCTTAATACAGGGCACCGTTGCCTCAGGGTTGTTTTTTATGTTGTGCAGAACCTGAATAGAAGGTTGGTTAGTGAGGAATGAGAAAGAGAAGCGAAAAAGAGTTAGATTCAGTGGTGGAAGGACTGACTAAGATGTGCAGGCGCTCGCGAGCATGTTTGCCCGCAGTCTTAACTAAGGTCGTGTATAACTGGGCGGCTTTGACATTCTGGGCTCCATTGACGATTGGAGGGAGCTGGTCAGTGGCCCAGGTACCGGGTATGTTTCTGATGGCTTGCTGTGTGATGCGAAAAAGGCAAGAGTCAGTTAAATAGGTACAGGTGATATCATGTGGTCAACTTGCCTTGATAGTGTTGTACAATGAATTGACTAGGGTATCGCCATCAGGGGATTCAAGTGCGGTATACGCCGCAATATTATGTAACGGAACTGATTCGTATGCTATAGTGTACACCCGACCCTGATAATTGAAGAGCGAAACAGGAAAATGTAAAATTGAGAAAAGCAAAAGAGTGATGCTGAGAGATAGATGAGATGACTCGAGGGCATCGACAAACTTTAAGCTTGGCAGAGTACATCCAGGGTTGGTCTGAGCAGGAGCTGGACCTCCAGCCTGATGAGACCAATTTTGCTCAAAGGTCTCAATAAGTTGATTGACTTTGTTGGATACGGTGTTGAATTGAAGATCAATTTTGTTAGCAATTGAAGTGACATCTTCGTCTGTCTTGTTCGACAAAGTCGCTATGTCTTGATCAACCTTCTCAGTGAAATCCGCGATCTCTTGATGTAAGTTGTCAGAAAGGACCAATATGTCTTGATTGATCTTTGTAGATAGTGTCACGATTGCAGCCAAGATGCGATCGGTATTGGCATCACTGGTGTCGTGGTTCTATGGACTATGTGATAAGTGGTGATGGTCTTTAGGACGACTGAAATAAAGAGCAAGATAGAACTTACATCGTCGCCAGTCTTCGAGGCTCCAATCCCTCGGATGCTTCGCTGTTCCGAGCGGGGGGCAGAACTGCTTCCAGTACCTGTAGTTCCGCCTATAAGACCATATGGTCAGACATTGAACGAAATATAAAAGAAACGGATGGCGAATGGCCGGAGATTGAACAAAAGACCAAAGATAAAATAAACGGAGGGTGAATGGCCAGAGATCGAACAAAAGATAAACTCAAGCGGGGGGCTCATACCTCTTGGAGTCGATAACGAATATGGTTGAGTACGTTTTTTTTGAGATTGAGCGTTGATTGTAGCGGTCATGGTATCAATACGGCCTTGTGATGACATAGTGAGCGAAAACGTTGTGAAAGTGAAACTTATTAACAGCAAAAAGGTTTGAAAAGCGACGAATTTTTTAAAGTGAAATGGTTCTATCTAAAGCTTAAAGGGCTTTAAAGCAAAAGGTCTTTAAGAGTGATGAGGTTTTAGAAAATATTTGAAAATCAGAAGGAAATTCAAACAAAGGTCAGAGGAGGCAAGTCAGGACCGGTGCGAGGGGAGAAAATTTGATGAAGGACCCACAGCGGTTTATATTTGGTTCGAGGCGCCCACGCCAACGCAAAGACAAGGTGGTGGAGGCCTTCGCTGATTGGTCGGAACGTGACGTCCTGTGGTGGTCTATAAACAGGCAAACCCAAGTGGTGGTTGTCGTTTCAGCCAAGAGTTCCTCTTTGGGAATCGACAGAATAAAGACGGCCAAATGGGGGGTCACTTGTGGTCATGACCATGTGGCCAACAGAGGGTTTCACACTGGGTCAGTTCAACTGTGCACCTTACTATAATCTAAAATGTGTGAACGACATCAGTCTCGCAATTGGAAAATGCATTGGGGTCATGCTCATATGGCGGAGAGTGGAGAGAGCGTTTCGCAATTATTCAGTTCAACTGTCCACCATACTAAAAGGTGAACAACAATCAGACGGTGTGGGTCTGGCGAATATAAAGGAAAGTGGAATTGTTTTCAGTTTGAGCACCATACTAAAGTGTGAACAACAATACGTGGGTCTTGCAACTTGGAAACAAAGTTGGATTGCACACATTGTATCCCCGTGATCCGGAAGTCCAACAGAAGAGAAACAAGAATGAAGTTGAACAGAAGTGGATCAAGGAAATCTCTTGGCAAAATCCGCAGGTCAGTTGGAAGAGTCAGAGTCATCAGGATCTTCGTCTTCATGGTGTTCTTTTTCTTTACCTTTACCTTTGCCTTGCCTTTTTTTCCAAGGTTTGACTGGAACCGATTGCCATGTCTTTATGCCGTTCCGTAGCGCAGCCTCCCATTCAGCAGGTGAAATGACCCGTGTGGGCAAGTTGGCCACTGCTCGATGGGTTTCAGCTGAGTAATGGCTCCCACTGTTGAGGATGAACCAATCGGTTTCGATATGGGCCATGGTGCTGATGGTGACAGAAGTTTCCTTTCTTTCAAGGCGCTTCTTTGCACCTCCTGTGACTGTGCATTTTGATCGGTGGCAGTTGTGTTGCACGTTCAAGACACAGAGGATATCCTGGAGAAATAATTTGTGTCAGGACTGGAAACACAAAAGGACAACAGTGAACTGATGTGGCGGTGGTACTTACAACCGCTTTGACCCATCTTTCGCGTGGAGTCCTTATTAATTCGCGCATGCCATAAAAAGGATAGACACAACCGCGCTGCGTCTCCCGCAGCTGAACCACTATCTTGGTGGCCGATTCACCGTCTGGTTTCCAGATGCCAGAGACTTGAAAGACACTTTCTCCCTGTTTGAGCTGCGAGATGGTTTAGGTCAGAAGGGATTTGAGGATTTGATGACGGATGAAGAGTAACTTTACCTTCACAAAATCCTTTGTTTCCACCTTCAACTTGTTGGTCAAAGCCACACTTGAATGTTCGATCCACGGCACATCTGGTACTTCCCTAACAAGATATGCAGGCACCTCGCGAACCTCCACACGCGCTGCCAAAGGAAAGATACATTTCAATGTTTTACAGCAAATATGAAATGGAAAAAAGTCCACTCACGACCCGCAGTAAGTAGCCCAGCTTGATTGGCTTTTGGGTCAAGGCCCATAGCCTTATAAAGTTCTGGCAATTTGAAGAGCAGCGCGCGCACTTCATGGCCTGCCATACATCGTGCTTCCAATTCTTTGTCAAAGAAAGTGTTGCCAGATAGGAGACATCGCATTAGTTGGTAATTGTTGAAAGTTTCGGCAATATCGCGACCGGGACTCATTCGGTTGGAATGCACAGAAGCCGTGCGCGAAACCCCATTATAACACTCAAACTTCTGGGTCATATATAGGATGGCTGGTCCAAAACGCTCAACTGAATCCTTCAAGTGGGTCAGCATGTGGAATTTTGGCTTATCAACCCATTGAGCCGTATCGTGGATAAGTTGATGGAAAAAAATGAGAATTGATGCCTCCATGTCTCGTAAATAGTCTTCCATGTTACTGATTTGGTGTTGAAATATGTATGATCCTAGAAGACACAACGCAGTCCACAAGTGTCGTCTGTGGTCTGGAATATGATCGAAGAGGACGAATGGAACCGCTTGAAGGACCGTCTGGAAATCTTTACCAACGAGGCTTTGGTAGTGAAAGATGAGAGTTTTCGGTTGAATTGGTGCAATGTTCAAACCATTGGTTTGAAAGGCTCTCCACCTAGCGGCCAACTGTTGATGGAGGATGCTTCCAGGTTTGATTATGCCGAGGGATTTCATCGTGTCTCTGAAAAGATATTTGACGATCCCAAGGAGTGCGACGTGAAGGGTTTCGACTGGAGTGTCTTGATGGCCATTGAAACCTGTGTGCACAAGAACAAAGTCAGAAGGGTTCCACAATTCGAGCTGCCACAAGCTGAAAATGTTAACATACCTCGGAGCCGTAACATTGGGTTAAACAAACGTGAACCAAGTTGGCGGTTCAAATCCTCGCATAGCTTTGGCACGTCACATGAATCTGGGGCGTCGTGAACCTTTTTGACAAAGAAGTCAAGGACAGAATCGCGGAATCCGTGCTTGCGCGCTTCCGTTTCAACCGCGGTTTTGCTGTGAGGCCTCTGGGCGATTTCCCAGAGGCCCCAAGCCCTATTGCGTGTGACATCCCATTGCCGTTTGGGGAGAGAGAACTGGGAAAATGAGTGGTGAGCAACAGTTTGAAACAAGAAAGTATAAGCCGTTCAATATAAACCAAAAAAGCATGTACCTGTTCGCCGTCACTGTCCACCCCAATGAAGTCTGAGACATAACCCTCGGTTTTTTTATCACTCATCTTCGTGACGTTCAAATCACATATGCGACAAGGTGTCAATGTGTTGGCCGGATTGGTGGTATCAGTGATCTCAGCATGCATAGGGCCATCACCCAGGTGGAATAAGACTACCACCATAGCAAGGACTTCCTGCCCGGTGTGATGGTCATGCGCCAAGAATCCATTTGAACTGTGATCACTTTGAACAAAACCGAGGCTGGTCAGCTACTGTGCATAGTTAGTACGTTTGGGACAGGAGACTCACTTGATATCGTCAACCACCTCATCAAGTAATTCCAGCGCTGAAGCGCAGTTCGACGTCGCCAGGAAATGAATGTTATACTCCTGGTTCGTCATTTTGGGTGGTAAGCCAGCAAGAGTAAAAAATACACTCATGTGCTTATTCCATGATTTGGAAACATTCCCCGAGGTGTCGTCAGAATACATGGTGAGTGGTATATGCTTGATCAATCTTCCATTTGCTCGTAATCGCCACGGGTTGACAGAAGGGAACCGGTCAAAGCTATCTTGCTTTTCCTCTAAGGTAAGAAGCCAGTGGTCAGATCTTGTCCGTAATGGCACGTGGAAACACAAAGAAACCCACAATATATATACGGGCAGGTCTGTTGGGAGAGACTTGAACCGTTGAGTAATCGGATGTCAGGAAAAGATTTCCAAAACTCCTTGAGGTCAATGGTCTCGAGTGGAGCGCAGTCAAAACTAGGTTCAGCGGGGATTATAAATTGGGTAACTGAAGGGTTTTGAGAATCCATTCGAACCGTGGTTGGGAGGCATTTAGCCATAGTTCTCCCATCTTGCTGGAAGAAAAATGCAGGCACCACGACGTTTTGCAAAAAAAGTTGAACAGGTTCGTAAATGTACCAGTGTTTCCCGCGGTAGAGAACCATTTGGACTCGGAGGTTTTTGCTGAAACCTTCGCGCCATTTCTGGGACTGTGATAATCGGTTGATTCGCTCCAACGTCGGTAATTCAGGGAGACATACCAAAAAAGGGCTGACTAAAGGATTGGCAAGTTCCTGTGGATGGAGGCCAACCAAATCAGTTCACGTTTCAAATCAAATCCTTGAACTGATAAAGAAATACCAACATTTGTGATTATAGTCTGCACTTTTAAGCCAAAGATGGGGTTGCCATGCGGACTGGTCCTTTCAGACACTTGAAGACCAAGATTCTTCTTGAGGCGCTTGCTTAGAGCACGCAGCGCCCCCCACTCTGGGAGCCGGACATGGCATATAAGCAAAATCGAGCGTATACGGTGGTATTGGGACCGGGATAGGATGCTGCGAGTTGATCCGATGATCAATAGAGCCACGACGTGCTGATTGGATGTGGGGTATGATCAGTACCAAATAAGTGATGATGATTTGCATTCCAGATAACCACTTACTTCTTTCTTTTTGAAAGGGTGCCACTCAGAGGAATCCAATACCTGACCGGTTTGCAAATCTTCTTCTAGACTGGCCTCATCCATGGCCTCATCGTTTGGACCAAACATGTCGTCCTCCATGGCATGAATAGCCTCAGCGAGCTTGTGGATGTCGAGGTCGTCGTCAGAGTCTTCTGAGTCGCCAGGTTGCTTTTCTTGGGCCAGCGCAAAGGCACGGAGGCAGGACAGAGGAGAGGGAGGGGGTTCGGGTGTGTCGGAACCAGGGGCATCATGGCCAAAGATGTCATCTTGTTGAGGAGGTGACGGCGAGCGATTGGTGGAGGGCGGGTGGTTGTCATCGAGGGCAGGAATGACCACCTGTTCAGCCGCTTTTCGAGCCAGGAAACGTACAACCGCGTCGAGGTGATTCTTGGAACGCGAATGAGGACCATACGAACCCATCTGGCGGTTACAGACCAAGCATCTCCACTGTGGATTTGAAGGCACAGTGGAAATCAACTCAAAATCTACAGAAAAGAACGAAGAGAGTCAGTATCTACAACTATTAAGTTGTAGAACATATGCTTCCGCATTCAACCTTACGTTGGTCAGGAGCTTGCGCCATATGGGGAGATAGTGGGAAGCAAAGCCAAGGTACGGAGAGATTGAGCCAAGGAGAAGTTGAGCAAAGGACAAATCCAGCGAGGGAGAGACCGAGCAAAGGGGAAATCGAGTGAAGGAGAAACCGAGTGAAGGAGAAATCTAGTGAAGTAAAATTGAGCCAAGGGGAAATGGACTGAAGTGGGCTGCAGAAGAGAAAAGGAAATAACCAGACGCAGGAAAAGAAAATATTAGCTTTATGTTATTGAAACGATGTTGGGAAGGATGAGCTTTTTTTGTTTGCTTAACTGGAATTGGGACCAATGAAGATAGGCAAGCAAGTGGGAGATCACACAGATATCGAGTGACGAATATAAGTGATTTGAGAGATTTGATTGATCAATGAAGCTTGTGCGACAATGTATGGTATCTTTGATATCTTGCGAGTGAAGCTTTCGAGTGACCGAGATGATTTGCGAGACTTGTGGAGCGAGGGTACGAATTGTATCGAGAGAGCCTGTTGCCTGAAGTGCAAGAGATTTTGAGTAACGGAGATGATTTGAGATCCTTGTGGAGCGAGGGTACGAAATGTATCGAGAGAGCCTGGTGTGCTGAACCCTGTGCGACGATGTATGGGGATTCATATTTGGGTGTGGGGAGTGCGAAATGTATCGAGAGAGCCTGGTGTGCTGAACCCTGTGCGACGACGTATGAGGATTCATATTTGGGTGTGGGGAGCGCTGACGTCAACCCTGAAGGAGTGGTGTCAGAGGGTTTCCTTCTCACCAGATCAAAACTGGATGACGGATCGTTTTGGTGGGCATGGGTCTCAAGTCTGGATCTGGCCCTCAGGCGGACAAGGCATCGGTTGTCATGCAGGCGGTCTGTAGCGGGTGCACGACGGTCAGGATGCCACATGCATGCCCTACCTGTGGCCGAATGTCGCTTTGCAAAATGCATTAGAGATGACCGCCTTGAGGCGCGCAGGGCATAGACGCCCGGCCGGCTACAGACGTTCCGCGGGCCAGAACCCGACTCGACCAGTGCGTGGCGAGATTCTGACCCAAAGTACCCCCGTGGTGTATTTAATTCCCGCGGTGTGAGAATGATCAATTTCAAACTACACAACATGATTCTTGATCTGTGAGTTTACATACACAACTTACTTCGTCATGTAATCCATCTCATTTACAGCTACAGAACAACTTTGTCCTGTAATTCCTCACATATGTAAATACCGTCTGAAGTTTAAGGGTACTCAAAGTAAAGTATGTAGCGCTACATACTTTTCGCTACATACTTTTTTTGGCGGGAACAAGGAAAAAAATATACTTTTGGCCTCGTCTTCCCCGCCAAAAAAAGTATATAGCAAAAAGTATGTGTACATACATACTTACTTTGAGTACCCTTTTTGAACTCAACAGTATCACCATGTCTGTTTTGAGGTAGCATGTCGACGTGCTCACACCAATCAATTTCCGTAGAGGGTGGATATAACCTACAAACAGGTCTGAGAGCTAAGCATACAATTGCCTTTGTCAAGAGGTTCAGACAGCAAGAGTGTTAAATGGGCTCCTTTGTTCATAGTTCCATTGACAAACGGTACATTTTTGATTGTCTATTATTATTAACAAAGGATTTGCATTTTCTAGAGACAAATTGAATAAAGGTCTGTTCAAATTTATTACACAACTCTCCGTGTGAGCACATCAACGTGCTCATGGGGGACGGACATGGTGTATGTAGACGCCCTACACTTCAGCTTCTTGAATCTTCACCCCAAGCTTGAGTATATTTAAAAGTGATTCTTAATTACATATATTATTATTCAAGCTAATTCAATCTTCATGTCTCTAGTCAAAGAGTCTACTCAATTTAAATACCATATTTATCTACATAAAGAAAAGTTTTGAAAAAACTTGTTCTAGATTTGACTGGAAATCAGTGTTTTTAAAAAAGAGGAAAGGATAGAAGGGTTTTGTGGAATTCATGGGTGTGGTTTGGAATTTATTTATTTATTTATTGTTATGATAAGAAGAAGCAAAAAAACCAGACTGGGTTTAAAGTGGAATTCTGGGAATTGGTTTTGGTTGTGTTTAGCTGAAAGTGTTTAAAAATCTGATGGGTGGTTTTGGAGAACTAATCTTTTATTTATAAAAATGAATGAATGTGGATACTTGAATAGAAAAAAAGGGAGAGTTTTTTAAGGTAAAGATTTTTTGGTTGAACTTGAGACTGAGTGATATTGAAAAGGTTTCAGAAAAGTACTAGATTAAAAGTCTTTTAGTTTGGTTTTGGTCAAGTTCAAAAACATACATAGTTATTACATAGAGTGTTCAAAAAGGATAACCTGATGATTTTATTAGAGTTCAATACTTTTGTAAGGCGGAGTGTATCTCTCCAAATTCAATGCCATCTTCACTGGGACTAGACTGACACAGCACAAGAGAGCACAGGATACAGTCGCCGCTCGCTATAAGCACACACTGAGTATGCATATCGTGTTATAAGCATGGATTTTTTCCCAATAAAAAATGAGCAGGGCTTAATTTGTGACCATAAGCATGTAAGTTAAAAGCATGAACTTGAGCCAAAAAATGCTTACAACGGGCGTGGATTTTGCTATATACAAGCATATTTAGTGGTTGCACAAGCAGATATGCTTATATACAATTTGTTTTCCTGTGCAAGTGTGAACTTTCGAGAAGGTTCATCAAATCTTCTGCCCACTCTACTAGCCTCTGCTTTATTATTAACAGTATATCAACTTATAAACACTTTTATTCACACTTTTTCAACCATCTTTGATAAAATCTCAATCTCAGTCTCATAAGAGAATGGATAAGCTCATCCACAAAACCCTCCTTCTATCGCAAAGCTGCCCTGATGATAAAATCAGAAAGGCAACCAAGGAAGATAAGATATTCAGAATGTTTTCAGTCCCCCCAGTCCTGGATACCAACGACACAGATGAGGGCATCGGATACCTAGTCAACTCGGCACTTGATGCAATCTGTGGTATTGACAAGATTGATCAACACCTTTTCACAGGACCACATGGGATTGAACTTATGCTGAAATGGATTGGTCAAGCTTGCAACCACCCCAGCTGGAAAGGGGATACCAATGCGCACGGTTTTCTCAGGATAAAGCTTGAAAAAGTTTGTCAAAAGCTCCAAGGTGGGTACTTTCTTTGAATGTTCTTTACATCTGTCTCTTTCATATTCCCACCCACCCTCATATTGTTTGTATCTACTTTTTTAGATGCCGGTGCAACTCTCCCTGGGGCTGGTAAAAGTATCCTTCCTACTTCAGGTGTGACATCTGTAGCTGGCCAAAAGAGACGGGTGATTTCAAATGCTGAAGTTAAAAATTCAAACTCGATCAAGAAAACTAAGCAGCCTATCAGCACTCCTGGATCATTGGCTTCTTTAGAATCTACCAATTTGAACGGACCAACACCGCGTGGTGTGTATGATTTAGCCTTCAAGGCCGAGGTTCTTGCATGGCATCACGCAGGCCGAAAGATTCAGCAAGAAACCGCCCGACATTTCAATATCACCCAATCTAATCTCAGCCAATGGCTCAAAGACGAAGGAAAGATCAAGGCAAATGCATTGATAAATGGCGGAACAGTTCGGAAACAACGCACAGCAAAGTATCCTGATCTTGAACAAGCTTTATATCAATGGGTAATTGAGGCTCGCGAGCGTGATCTACCAGTCAACGACGAGGTTATAAGAGTCAAGGCTCAACATTTCTCCGAAATCTTCAAATTAAGATGAAATGCTCAGATGGATGGATGACCAAGTTCAAGAAATGCTACAACATCCAAAGAGTCACCCTGCATGGCGAGGCATCCTCAGTAAACCCAGAAGATGTGAAGTCTGCACGCGACGAGCTACTCAAGGTGACGAAGGACTATCAACCTTCTGAAATATATAACGCCGATGAAACTGGACTATGCTATCGGTAAATCTGTGACTCTTTTTTTCATCAAAGTTCAGCAGATTGATCATCTTCCAACTTTCTTCTCAGGATGCCGCCAAATAAGACCTTGGCTGACACACAAAAAGCTGGTGTGAAAGGCGACAAAGCTCGAATCACATACCTTCTCTGTGCAAATGCAGATGGCACTCACAAACTCGATCCTCTAGTTATTGGTAGTTCAAAAAAGCCTACCTCATTCAGAAGCAAGCCCGCAGCTTATTACAGTCTCCAATACACTAATAGTAAGAATGCCTGGATGACCGGTGCAATCTTCGGTGACTGGCTTCAGAAGATTGATGCCAACTTCCGTCGAGAAAATCGCAAAATCTTACTCCTGCTCGACAATTTCTCCGGTCATAAAGCCCCAGTCAAAACTCTCAACCTCACAAACATTACAGTGCATTTCCTTCCACCAAATCTCACCAGTGTCTTACAGCCTTGCGATGCTGGAATAATAGCAGCTTGGAAAGCTCACTACAGACGTAACTTGATATCTCTAGTAATCCGGAGACACGATGATAATCCGGACAAACTGGCAAAGGATATCTATCGGCTACCACTCCTGGACGCTATGCGAATGGCTGATACATCATGGAAGTCTGTTACTTGCAAGACGATTACAAACTGCTGGCGTCACACCCAAATAGTGGCAGCACTCCAAGAAAACGAGAACCAACCTTCCACCCCAACTAATACCAATCTAGCTCCTGATTCCGACCTCCAAAACATCATTGATGAGGCTTCAAAGGTCCTAGAGCGACTCGAAGAATGCACAGGCCTAGATGAGAGTCGATCCGAGGTCCGGATCAGCATTCAAAACCTACTCAATCCCAAGATCGAGAGGCAATTACCTGAGGATGTTCAACGTATGCCGACCGATCTCGAAATCATCAAATCAAGTGCTAACGACTCTGAACCCGATGCGCCTGATGATCCCGAAGATGACGAGGAGGATTTGCGGGAGCACATCCGTGTACCAATGTCAATGGCTCAAATCTCACAAGCCATTGACGACATCATCTATTCACTCAACCGTCAACCTCATGATGCTGACGGGCCCGACTGGACCTTACATATCAAAAGCTTTCACTCTATGCTCAATGAAATCAGCCATGTCCGCTTCAATTCATTGAAGCAAAAGTGCTTAACCAATTTTTTTAACCTTGATTCGACTACGTAATAAAGCCTGATAAACTTTTACATATTCGTTTTTTCTTCTAGTCTCTTGGTACATCTTTTTCCTTCACGTGAAGCTCTTTGTATGCCCCATCTTTTTGTCTGAGATATGCAATGCTATGCCAACCTATGCCCACTATCACCAAAAAAGTTGTCCAAGACTTTTTTTTTTGAAAATAAGCATAAAGGTTAGTTTAAATCCAAACTATGCCTTTATGCTTATTTCGAATTGATGCATAGCGCGATATAAGGTTGACAAATTTTCGGATTAAAATTATGCTTATAGGGCGCGGCGACTGTAAATCTAATCCCCTTGATTTGATGACTAGTTCCAGAACTCGATGATCAGAATCCAGTAAAACACGTATAAGATATTAAAAGAGAATGATATGAAAGACCTGTACAAAGGAAAAGAGTGCCAAACTGGAGGGGATAATCTATCTAAATAATCTAAGTGTCTACTATAACCCATTGTGTAAAACCCATACCCTGCATTTACACATTCACCCCTTAACAACTTTGAGAGAAATATGGAGATCTTAAGGATTTGTTCAGGACAATTCTTTGATGTTTTGGTTGTATAGTTCTATAGGTTAGGAAAGTATTATGTTTGATTCGTAATTGATCAAATCAACTTCTTGAAAACTGGTTGTTATATATATAGAGACAAAGAAGATAACTTATGGAGTCTATACCCAATATGAGTTTTGTTGCTGTTTTGTGTGTCGATGCAGCATCTTTGATGCAGATGCTTTCCCAGTTTGTAATTATCAAACCTCGATCACCAAATGAGCTACAATACTCAAATGCGCACTTGGATCACTTCAATAACTTGAATGATTTCAATAAATAGATGTTTCTTACGTTTATTGATTCTTTTCCAATCCATCATTGTTATTGATTTTCAACATTGATTGATAAATTTGATCTTGAGAGCCAGTGATACAACAAGCCATAGCCAATCGTACCACAAAGTTTATAGGGAGTTAAACTTATCGACACAGCGAAATATTGATTAATCTGAGATGATGTGTACAACAAAAGCATCGATATGCTTTTCGCGCTCGATTTTAGGATAACCAGTTGACAACCATCATTGTACGCAATACATCACTTTCATGCACGTTGAGGATGACTATGATTGTGTGGGACTCAACTTTCTGAATTGGACGTTGCTGAGATGTGCTGAATGCAAGTATCCGACTCCTGCAACAAAGTACTTTTATCCAGTGTCTACTTCGGAGAACTGCAGCTGCCAGATTGGTGTTGGAGATTTGACATTTCTTTTTTTGATATAGGTCAAAGAGCGGTTGTAAAGATGCCTGAGTTAACACATCCCAAAGCTGACACTGCATTGAAAATGATAAGGATACTGCTTTGATAGTGATAGTGATAGACATGAGTGCGCAGTGTTGAGCACAAGATACCGTCTGTGTGGGGTATTTGGCCTTTTTCAGTCTTTCGACTTCCCTGCTTGATAGTGGTGAACCCAGAAATCACAAGCAATTTGGTCTGTCAATGTATGCATAGCCGATGCTCCAAATGGAGACGTCACCAGCGTCTCGGGCGATGAAGTCTATCGATGACCATATGAAGTCTTGAAGCGCATCCATGAAAAAGAAACATATATCTCAAAATGGTTATCGGATGAGTCGATGTAGCAAGCCAAGTGAGCGCGGTGCGAAAACGATCGTAAAAAGCTTGTCACAAATTCCCCGCCAATTTACTGGAGTTTTGCGGACAACTTTGGTAATGAAATATGCAGTGAGGTGTCAAGGTGTTCTCCACAAAACGAAGACCCTGTTCCTCATCGCAGCCTGCGGGCCGGGTTGGAAATGTAAGGCCGGATCACTTTTCAGGATCAGGAGACCCTCAGAAATCATCTTTCAAGAGAAAGTCGTCAAATGATTGGGCAAAATTAATCAGATAACTTGGAAATCAAGCGCCAATACAAGCTACTTGCCACAGCGAAAGCGTTTTTGGATTCAACGCTGCTTGCGTTAGGGAAACCGGCCTCACTCAGCCCTCGACTTTATAACTGATGCAGTGGTTCTCGATCTTTCACATATTCAATAATGATAAGTAGCGCTGAGCAAATACTAGTTGGCTACGCGGGATCAGAGTATGAGCACAAACAAACCCAGCCTAAGCGGATGACCGTCACACAATTTCTCAAGGGTTGCTAGTTGATGTAAGCTAAAGTTCAAAAAGTGCGCATCTTTCAAACATTAACGTATGCACCTTTCTTTCTTTCTTTACAAACCAAAGTCTACCAGAATGATTTGAGGGACTATAAGCTTGATGATCTCAACGTGGACACCTCGGATGCAATCCTTATCCACAACGCCTTATGTATACAGGGTGTCAAGCACGCCCAAGCAAGCCTCGGGGTTGTAGGTGAAGTATTTAGGCTTGGTTAAATTGGATATTTATTGTTCGATCTTAAATTTCCTTCGATAATAAAAAAGTGGAAGACAACTTGATACAGTACACCACTAATCATTTCCTAAACGAAGATAGATGAGCAATAATGTGATAGGTACATAAATTGGTAAAGGATCGGTAGAACTCTTACGCAAAACCACATTTCAAGCCACAAAGTTAATACTACGCTGTTGAAGCACCGGTGTTTTGGAGTGTCATGTTCTTCAACGGGCGAGAGGTATCTGATAACAAGATGAGGTCGAACTTCGATCAAGGCTACAGCTCGAAGCTTGAGTGTGAAATATCATCTTGGGATGTTTGAGCCAGTCAGCTCTTTGAAGGAAAAGTCTCTACTTAGCAACATCCATCCTCATCAAAGCATACCTTGATGACGTATGGACTCGTATGGATTCATAAGGACAGAAAATCTGAAACCCGACCATAGATGTACATGTTGACCAAGTTCTCGGCAGTACGTCTCAATCACCGCACAATCACCCTCCTCGGCGTTAAAATTGATAGCACAGATCGTCCACGCCGACGAAATCCCGAGCTTGTTCGTTCAGGCCAATACTAATAGCCCCTCATACAAATCGTGTCACTCGTATTCATCTTTGCCTTGGATGGTTTTCATGAGGTTTCATGAAAGATATGCACGATGACTGAAAAAATAGCATCGAACAAAAAAGCAACAGCAACACGGGAGCTTGTCTCCATCTAATGATCCAGATCAATAATCAAGGGTTTGCGGGGAAGAAAATCAAAACAAATGCACATAATGCTATCTTACAAATCTTCCTCGTGACACAATTCAAGCTCGAGATATGGAAATCCTTATAATTCTGAATGTGTAACTCCACAAATCTCATCAAAACCTGTCCTTTTTCTCTACCCATTTTCTGGGGATTCATGATATCATAGTAAATGTAGTCGATGGATCTCCCAAAGTATATTTCTCAGCTTGGCCTCATATCTCTATCGGAAAGCAGGCCAAGATAACAAGGTACCTTTCTGCACTTGATTTCTTTTCTGATCGAAATAATCATCATTTGTGTGAGAAGATCATCCATTTCTTCCTTCAAGAGGGAAGCCTTTGAGTTAGACTCCTTCCACTTTAACTTCTAGATGATGCAAGTTGGAAGCTGAGTTCGACTTTGAGACCAAATATCAAAAAAGAGGTACATACCCTCCCCAGCTCAAACATCCTTCGATTCTTGTAGACCTAAATTCGTTTTGATCGTGAAACCATCACAAGATAGATTTTTGATCGTTAACCAAATAGAAATTGCACTTACTGAGGTGTTGTGGACAGTGGAACTTGAAGGGCAAGATGAAATGAAAAAATATTGCAGTATGTATCTACACTTGAGTGTGTAAAACTCAAAAGGCCTTTCTAGTTCCCAGCCATGTTTTTTTTTCTCCTCCGGAGCTACAACTTCTAACATTTCTAATTTACACACGACCTTGATAAATATTCTCTTCCTTAAAGCCGAGCTTATAGTATGCCGTACAAAAATCTTCTCTAAACCCAATCTTCTTGTCTCTTTCCTCTGATTCGCCGAGAAGCGGGAGATAGTGGCTGTAGTCGTCCTATGTTGTAAGCATTCCTCTCATCGGGGAAACTACACATCACATCAGTTGCATCACACTTTAAATTTGTTTCATTCTCCCCCGTTTCTCAATCCTTCCCTTTTTGCCAATTCTATTCAATTCAGAAAACCGCATTCACAGTTGATCAAGAGTTTTTTTCTGCGGGTGTGTGTGTGTGTGTCTGTGTGTCTGATTCACCCTCGGCCCTTGCTCTTCTACTTGACTGCATTCATTGACCTCTATATATCCGTTTGAATTCATTCCTGTCACGTCCCTTGAAGGTTTTGTAAATCACACCATGATCCAACATGGTTTCCCCATTAGCTTCTCGATCCCTTTCACCTTTTTAAATTCTTCCGATCAAATTAGCTCAGCTACCTACCTTTCTTTTCTATTTCTATCCACTTCGGTCAGTTCATATGACCACCTTTTCACGTCATCCTATCTCATCTCGTTCGATCCCAATACTAATCACCCGTCTTCTTCAACATTTTTCCGTACCGGTCTTTGACAATTATGACCGAAAAAAAACCCGTTTTGCAACCCTAAAAGCTTCTTCACGCCATCGTACGACAACGAGAGCCTACATTTTTTGTTTATCTCTTCAGTGTACTACTTACGTTAGTGGGCTTGGGGTGGATTCTTGAAAGCTTCTGTAAGGCTGTGAAGCATGTGATTCTTCTCAACGCATCTCTTGGATTACATTTGGGATTCTATCGATTAGCATGGCATCCTTTACGTCATTTTCATGGACCTCCTATAGCTGCTTTAAGTCAATTCTGGATTCTTAGAGAAGCTTATCTTGGAAGGAATAGATTTACTATGCGTAGCTTGGGTGAAGAGTATGGAGATTGGGTGAGAATCGGTGAGAAATCTTGTCTTCTTCAATTCACTTTGAGTCATCTTGGTTTAAAATTCATTTCTTCACAGGTCCTAATGAGCTTTATACGACTAGTATTGAGGCTTTATGGACGATTATGGGACCAAGAGGATGGGCCAAAGGGAATGCTTACAGTAGTGGAATCACGAAGACTCGAGAGGGAAGTGATAGTCTCTTAACGCTCAAAACACGTACGTTGCTCTTGTGTATTTCTGTGTCGATCATCACCTTCAGTTCACTGACACTGTATTACGGCATTTTAGTTTCTGAGCATGCTCCTCGAAGACGCATGTAAGTTATTTTTTGAATAACAAATCTATCAGTATTTCAAGGTATGGTCCAAATTCGATGAGGTAATTGACTTATACATCGCCTTCATAGTTGGGATAAAGCGTTTACGCCCCGGGCAATCTCATCTTACATACCATCACTCGAAGTGCGTATGGATCAGTTACTTGAAGTACTTCAAAACCACGTCAAGGAGGACAAAAATGTAGATTTTGGACTTCAATTGGGCTACTTGATGTATGACAGTAAGTATCTTAGTTTAGTTTGGATCACGACATGTTGCTTGGGAAACCTTGAGTTTGGATCGTTTGATCTCCATCAGGAATAAGCATATCTGATTCATGTGTTTATATCTGATATTTTTTCAGCGATGTCTGATATGGCCTTTGGAAGTCAGTTTTTCAATCTTTTCGTGATTTAAAGATCCACAAAATTTTCCATGGACACAACTCATGGTTTTTTGAAATATCAGGTGGTATAGATTTACTTAAACTACAGAATGATGAACGTAGAATATTATATCACCTAACTAGAGTTGTACAACAAGCTGGAATTCTTCGAAACGTACCTTGGTTAACACCGGTGGTTAATGTGCTTCCTACTTCTCAGAGGAAAGAACAAATGGAATTTAGGGAGTTTGGAAAATCTATGTTGATGCGTAGATATAATCAAGGTCTAGGATCAGAGATTGATGTGTTTCATTACTTGGTAAGTATGTCAACCTCACCTGGACCATGTCATATGTAATGTACTGCTCTCTGCGTCTCGTCTTGGCAATTCTCTTTTCAATATCTCTGGTTTGTTCGAATTTAATTTATCAAGAGTCGAAAGTCTGATACATTCATGATTCTTTCTTAATTAGCTAGGGGAAGACACGGAGACGGGAAGTAGGCTCCAAATGTCCGAGCTTGCGGCGGATTCAACTTTGGTCATCATGTAAGTGTTTTCTATGACTAGGTGATAAGCGATGAATAGAGAGTATGATCAACAATCTAACGAAGCTCAATTTCAAATCTTCAGAGCTGGATCAGATACGACTCGGATAACACTCATAGCTCTCTTCATGTATCTCATCAGATCAACAGAATGCATGAAACGTTTACAAACCGAACTTGACAAGATCGCACCAGATCTCACACCTGCAAGTCTAGCCAAATTAGAATATTTGAATGCATGTATCAAAGAAGTTACAAGACTACAACCTCCATCTCCTTCAAGTTTACAAAGAATCTGTCCTCCTGATGGAGCCGTGATTGATGGTAAGAAGATACCAGGAGGTACAAAGGTTAGGTTTAGTAATTGGGCAATGCATCGTGATCCTCGTTATTTTAGTGATCCGGATAGGTTTAATCCAGATCGTTGGATCCTCCCCACTTCGACTTCTCAACGTCATGATATTAGAGCTTTCTTTCCATTTCTGATTGGACCAGGTACATGTGTGGCTAAGAACATGGTACTCGTGGAAATTAGAATGGTAAGAAAGTCTTTTGATGAGGATTGAAGAATTTTCTGCTAGATATTGAAGGTCTCAAATTCTGATGATGATGTTTGATTGATTTTCTAGGTAGTTGCAAATGTTTTGACAAAATACAATTTAGAATTTGCTCAAGGGTTTAATGATCAAGAATACGAAAAGAGTTGGACAGACGCATATTTAATGGCCATCGAAAATCCATTTTGGATTAAATTTACACCTAGAGAGATTCACTCAAAGATGTATAAAGAATGAAAGATTTTGAAGAAGAAATGATGAAATTGAGAATCGAAAGAGATGATTTTTTTATAAAAAGAATATATGTTGTTCTTGTTTTGTTTTTTGTCATGATTTTTCTTTGATGGTTTGTATTTTGATTCTTGGAGGTTGTAGATACTTATACACTTCTTGCGTTGTTTTTTTCTTCGGAGTTTTATTGTACTTTTCTTACTTGTATTTCGGGTAAATGTCATATTCACTCACCTTTAGATTCATCCTTCGAATTTATCACACTGGAACAGGTTAGAACTCTTGGGGGTTCTAGTTTGGGCGTTTGACAAATGTAATGGATTGTATAGCAGATGATTATCATTGATTGTTTCTTTGTTGGTGAATAAACCACGGGGTTTCTATTACTCTTTGGTGTGAAAGCACATGAGCCCATCTGAAATATAGCAGATTATATGAAAGATTTTCTTGAAATGTTTGATCATATAAAATATGAAAATATCAGAATGATTGAAAGTATCTGTTTGAAAGATGAATGACGTTGAGGTATACCGAAAGGCGGCAAAGAACAAGAGATTTCAAGACACATGCGCCACTGCCTGGCTTATATATCACGAGAGCTTCTTGCAATCGAGCCAGAATAGGATTTTTGTCGTTTCATGTAAGCTTTCAAGCAGATTTCGTGTACTTCGGATTAAAAAGTGGCCTTTTAACACCGAAGAATTATTTGCTCGCTGTCAGACCTGTGGCAGTGAAAATGGAGCAATCTCATCGAGGCAACGCCTAACTTGATCAAGTCCCAGCCTCTTCTTGCGCAGCCTGAGGCAATATGATCCCAAGTGATCAGAATGACCATACTCGTGTGATTTGCCATCGACTCGATCATCGACCATTTTCCGTTTGCGGTATCTGTGTCATCGAGAAATGTAGCAGTGATGAAGACCGGCTTCGGTAAGAAAGTGTTATAGCGAGGGTGAGTGCCGGAAATGAAAATCGAATACATATAAGACTAAAGAGGGCTGTAGTGTGTATTGTGTATGTAAATAAATCACTCTGAAATGTTTTTTGCAGTCCGACCCGTACAGTCAACTTCTCCACAACCTTCATCATCTTCAGCAATCTCAGTTCACCATCGACGACAATTCTTCGAAGAACAATCAACCAAGACTACTTCACTCAAATCACAATCATCAAATCAATCCTTGGACAATAAAATGGACGGAGGTTAGTTCATTTTTAAGTCCAAATCTGTCGAAATCCAACTCACTTTTATGGTCTCTGCTCGATGCTTACTAAACTTATTGCTTGGCTTTTTAGATTTGATTGCCCTAGTTAACAAATTGCAAGACACCTTCAATGCAATTGGTGGAGAAACTGTCGATTTACCTCAGATTGTGGTGGTCGGATCACAGAGTTCAGGAAAGTCTTCTGTTCTTGAAACGTACGTCACATTGTCAAAAGATCTGGTCTTCGCGCCTTCCTAGTCAAGATCATTACCACCTAACACTTCCTGTTGCACAGCATTGTAGGACGAGATTTCCTTCCGCGAGGCTCAGGAATTGTTACTCGTCGTCCTCTCGTCCTCCAATTGATCCACATCAATTCACCCTCATCTTCACCCGTAGAATATACTCCTCAGCAGTCATCATCATCCGCTGTCGAGTACGGAGAGTTTCTTCACCTTCCCAACCGAAGGTTTACTGAATTTGCTGATATCAAAAAGGAGATTGAAAATGAGACTTTGAGAGTGGCTGGAAGTAATAAGGGAATTAGCCGACTACCAATTCATGTGAAGATCTTTAGTGAACGTGTCTTGAATCTTACCTTGGTGGACCTGCCTGGCTTGACTAAAGTGAGTGATTGGTACCAAGTTTATATTTGTGGCTATTCCTGCTGAATTTATCTATCAGATACCTGTAGGGGATCAACCTACCGACATAGAGCGGCAGATACGCAGTCTGGTACTCGATTTTATATCCAAACCCAACAGGTAGCGTGATCCTCTTGCACAAGTCTACATCACTGCTAAAAATTAACAAATTCATCACGTGACTGTATTCTTTATCTATAGTGTTATTCTTGCAGTCTCTCCAGCCAATGTCGATCTCGCCAACTCTGAATCATTGAAACTATCTCGTTCTGTTGATCCTCAAGGTCGTAGGACTATCGGTGTCCTAACCAAGCTAGACCTCATGGACACTGGGACAAATGCTTTGGACATACTCACAGGAAGGGTCTACCCACTTAAGCTAGGCTTCATTGGTATCGTCAATCGTAGCCAGCAGGATATAAACATGAATATACCACTAGAGAAGTCTCTGGAGAAAGAGCAAGAGTTCTTCACTCAGCATCCCGCTTACCGTAATATCGCACATCGATGTGGTACTAGATTTTTAGCAAAGACATTGAACCAAGTCAGTTGCAATCCCTTTCAGGTTCCTCGTTGCAATGTGATTTACACTAAACAAGTCTTGATGATTCTCTTGTTTTAGGTGTTGATGTCTCATATCCGTGACAAGCTGCCCGACATGAAAGCCAGGCTGAATACACTTATGGGTCAAACGCAGCAGGAACTCAATGCATACGGGGGTGACTCTGTCTTCTTTGGTAAACAGAACCAAGGGTCGTTGGTTTTGAAGTTGATGACTCAATTCGTGAAAGACTTTGTGTCATCAATTGATGGAACGCAAGCTAACCTCTCCACCAAAGAACTTTGTGGTGGTGCTCGGATATATTATATCTTCAATGAGATATTCGGACATGCACTTGAAACCTTGAATCCAATGGAAAACCTAAACAATTTAGATATCAAGACTTCTATTAGAAACTCCACTGGAACCCGATCAAGTTTGTTTATCCCAGAAGCTGCATTTGATCTATTGATTAAACCTCAGATCAAGTTGTTGGAGCCACCTGGCTTACGGTGTGTAGAATTGGTATATGAAGAATTGATGAAGATCTGTCACAATTGTACAAATTCTGTAAGATTTTCGATCAATTTTTCGATTAGCTCTACCATAATCCGCTAATGAAATTGCTAACGGTCATGTATTTGTATGGATCACAGGAGCTGCAAAGGTATCCCAAACTGCATGCGCAATTGATCGAAGTGGTTTCCGAACTACTACGCGAACGGCTGGGTCCAACTTCCGAATATGTACAATCCTTAATCTCAATCCAGGCTGCCTACATCAACACCAATCATCCGGATTTCATGGCCAATACACTTACTAGTAGCAACATGGCATCAAATCAACGTCATCATGCTACCAACGCAGTCACTAATGGAGTTATGGATCAGAGAAGGGTGCGCAATGGTTCCCCTACGTTGTCTGTTGCTACCATCGGCTCCAATGGTAGCTGGGGTCTCTTTCTCGGTTCGCTTTTTCAACCCCTTTTGTCTCACTTTTCCTTGGTTTTATATCTCTCTGGGTTTCCTTTCACAGTCTGATTCTGATGGAGACGGCGAGGGTTCTTCGAGTGTGATTGAAGATGATGATCATGTTTCTGAGAATAGTACTGCTCAAGCTCATCATCGACAGATTCAACTCCATAACGCTCCTTTAACTCGTCCTTCATCAGTGCCGATCGATAACTCATTGACTATCGGACGATCTCATCAGCCAATACCGAATAATTCAAGGATCGTTTCAGATAGTCGACTGAATGTATTGAATGCTAATCCTTCTTCATCTCATCATCATGGTGGTCGACATTCAGGTGGATCTTCACAACAGTATGGAAATGCTAAAGATTCATTCCTGAATTATTTTTTTGGTGGATCTACTAATGGGATTGGTGGTGGAATGTTATCACAACCACCTCAACCACATCGATCAAATCGTCATAGCCTGACTGGTATGGGACATGATAATGATTCAAATCAACATGGATCTAGTGGATTGAGAAAATCTGGATTCGAGGGTGCAAATGCTGCATTTAATATGAAGAGTCTTGAAAAACATATGCTAGAGGGAGTACGTATGATACTTTATTAGATTTGGTTTTCCTACTGAGTAGACGAGTTGAAATGTTGGTTTGTTTGTTTTCTTAGACACCTGAAGAAGAACAGAGGATACAACTAACGGACCGAGAACATAGGGAAATCAATCTGATTAGATCATTGATGACAGCTTATTTTGGAATTGTTAGACAAACAATTCAAGATTTAGTACCAAAAGGTTTGATTTTTTTTTCTCTTCTTTTCCATTCTTTAATGAAAATGAATCAAATTTAAGAAAAACTGATTTGTGTTTGTTTTTTCTCTACGTTGATGATAGCTGTGATGCATTTCTTAGTAAATCATGTCAAAGAAGGAGTACAGAATAGATTGGTATCAAGTTTATATCGAGAAGATTTATTTGAAGGACTCTTGATGGAAGATGATGGATTAAGGAATGAAAGAGAAAGAGTCAAAGGTCTTTTGGATGCTTATAAGGAAGCTTTTAAGGTTTGTCTCTTGAAAAGTTTCTCTGTTTTCGTTGTCGTTGTATTGATGTGGTTTTGGTTTTTGAATGGGGATTGAATTCTTTAGACTTTGAGTGAAGTTTTGTAAGGTTTCTAAACGTTTTGTGGTTGCGCAAATAATTGAAAAGCATCAAGATTAGCCAAAAGGGATATTGTATGTCACAGGTGAAAAGATAATGATTGTGTTTTCTATTGAATCATTTTTTTGAAGTTTAGTAGTGTTTCTCAATTCAAGACAAATTAACAAGTTTACAACCAAAGAAAATTTCAAAAATTGAGAAGAAAGGAAACTTGAAGTCTGTTTTGTTTTGTTTGATTTTTGTTTTTTTTTGCAAAAAGAAAAAGTGTAAATATGTTTCATTTTTCATTTTTTTCACCTTTTTTTAATTCTTTTTTTTGTTGTGGTTTTTTTTCATCTTTTTTTTTTCCCTTTTGAATTGATAAGTTTGATGATGATGAAGTAGAAGGTTGGGATGAGGAATTCTTAAACAAAAGTATTTGCAAACTATCTTCTTTAACAAATGGCCCAGCATTTCCGAGAGAGTGGACTGGAGATACGAAGCGTATTGGGCGCTTGTGCGAGTTGTATGCATGCTAGCAAAGTTCAGTGAGCTTGCGCATGAATTTTGATTCACTTCCAGCCAGCGAGACGAGATATGAGAACCCTTTTGATCAAAGATGACGCATTTGAAGCTCTCGAGGTGCAAGCAAGGAATTCATTGATCGAGCGCATACACTAAAATCTAGAGAGTGAGAATCAAACTAAGTGTAGATTACTTGAGCAGTCTGGGTATTCCTTTGTTGTACAAGAAAGGCTAATACGATTATGAGGGGTGACCGTGTATATTCCGGTGAACGGGTATGAATGGAAAAATGAAGGGAAAGACTTTGTGATCACCTAGTCAACAGGTTTTTGGCAGCTCAACGCTTCTGCTTTGTTCATACCCACGAGAGTTGTGGAAGATGGATGGTACTGATCAAGAAAATAGATTGTGATCCCCTTGATATCAGCTCAACGTATTTCCTTCAATTCGCATTTTAGAAGCTTGGAGATTTTTACCCTCGCATTCGCAGAAAGTGACTGGATGAGATGAAAGGCAAGATGTGATCTTTCGGATATCACTTACCCCGTACAAGGGATCAGCTTGATTCGATGAAAGTGATATAAAAAGAAGTCATCAAGCTTTGAGGAAATCACCAATATCAACGCACCTACCATCAATTCAACTCAAGATGACTCAAATGTCGCATATTCCCTTCACTGAATCGAAGACATCACAGCCACCAACCGAAAGGACTATAATCCGACCGTCAGATGAAATGCATGCTAGGAAAAATACAATTCCTCCACCTATGGAAAATGGAAGAAAAAAACCATCAACGGTCCAAACGATCAGATTGACATTTAGTGAAGAAAACGAACAACAGTTTGTAGGAAACCCTCAGATCATTAAAGATCACAAATCAGATTGCTAAATCGTAAATCATTTTCTTATTACATCAGGAGTCAAAACAAGCAACAGGAGTTTAGAGATCAAGAAAATGAGATCATCGAACGATTGATACAAATTTCATTTGCAAAACAAAAAAATGGATATAAATGTTGTTTTTTGAACTTGCAACCTCTTAGTAGTACTCCAGCTTTGCCACTTCCTTTGAAACTTATAGATATGGATCATCAAGGTAGTTTAAAGAGAACTCATATGACGCATAAAAGCGGACCAAAGGACACAAATTTAATAAGTGAGAGTCTCATAATATCACATACATCTCTAATTTTTTTATTCAGAGAGTTACTGATGCTATTGTTACTATTTCAGACACTTCATGCGGACATCATCATCACTATGAATTTTTGTCTGACAAACCAAACACAAAAATATCAACGGTTCTGAACTCTAGGAAAGTACCAATAGCACCTTTAGCTTCGAATCCTCATCTGAGTCTAACAAACCAAGTGACCAGAAGTAGTAAGTTTTCTATCCAATTCCTTCATTCTAATCATGAAAATTTTCTGATATACTCAATTTCCTCAATAGGAACTCAATCACCATATATCATTCATGAAGTTGATTATTATCAAGATAACAGAAGAAATTTCTTAATTGCTAAAGCTCTTCAACATCAAAGTTTAAATTACAATCAAAATCTAAATTATAATCTCACCATAAGATCTTCTTGTCAAATTTGTTTTCAATGTTTTTATACTTTAGATTTGTTATATAGACATATTTCTTCAGTACATTCTCGTCATTCAAAATCAAATTATACTTATTTTACTTGAATTTATCATTACATATATGAATTTTTCTTTGGTATCTTTGTATATAAAGAATTCGTTTTTTCGGTTAACATTTCTGGTGAAGAGGTGGCCAAGGAGGGTTTTTCTTTGAGGGCTCAGAGTGTTTCCTTTGGACTTTTTTTTGGTTTGTGAATAAATCATCTTTTTCAATTTACAGGTTTCCGAGTAACCTGCAAGTAATATATACACGAATCATTGATTTCAAAGAAAGAAATCCTCAAGCTGATCATCTAAAGCTAATCCCGAATCTTAAAGGCAGTGAGTTCTCAAACATCTCTCAAGATGAATTTTGATGTGCGAGGCTTGAATCTGTGCACCGTCATGACGGCCTTAAGAGTCTCCTTAATCCCAAAACAGCTATTTCAATGGGTCTGAATCCAGTAAACTTGTTGACACTTGCAAGTTAAAGGTGATCATTGCTGGTACATCATGCGTACGGAGTGTCATTCAGCGGATCGCTTTGTTGAACTTATGCACCCACTAACAAAGCCAAGACACATACCACGAGAATTTGAACATGATTAGAACCAAAATCGACCCGGTGATGGAAGGTCCTGACCAAAGGACCATAAACGCGACCAATCCTTGAGGAAGTACCCTTACAATTTCAATCACGTATGTGGTTCCAAAGTCTAGGACAATGATGATGTCACTAGTATATTTCCTCTGAACTTTTCAGTCATGATTAGAGTGATCATTAATTAGAGTAATATTGGTTATGGTGTGCTACTTAGAATAAATGAAATGTGATTTTGTAAAATTTCCCCTGTTGCGTGGATGCCCGCATAGTCTCTAGTATTACCAAAGTGTCAGCCTACTCCAGGAAGATGAATGATCCCAAGAGCAACACTGCCACACCATTTATTCAGGGAGTTTATACATGCATCATCATTAATGGCCAGGAGCAGGAGAAAGCACCACTTGAAGGATGGAAGCGGGAATATGATTCAAAGGGAGTGGAGCTACAGGAAAGTTGCATTGATTGTGTGCCTCCACAAGATTAAAACATCTACACAAGACTGAACCTGTGGGTGTATGTCTTCAATGTGCTTGTAGCCATTTTACTTGAGAGTGGGAGCAGGAGGTATGTTTTTGAGACTTTGAGGGTAAATATGCAAGTGAAGGAGTGGTGATGTGTGAAAATGGTATTAGACTGGGTGTGAGACTTGGTTTTTTGTGTGTGGGAGGAGATTTAGGCTTATTTTACACATCTTTGATGTGTTTGGGATGATTTTGTTTGTAAATTGACATAAGGAAGTGTTTTTGAGGATTAAAACGTATGTATGAAAAGGAAAGGTTGGTGATATGCAAAAAGTTTCTTAATGAAAGATGTTTGCAATCCAATCTTGCCATGTTGGGAGGAGAGTTAGGCATATTGCTTCTATCTCCAATTTGTCAGGGGTGATTTCATATGAAAACCAGCATCAACATTGATGTCTTGAAATCCACATCTGACTCCATTTTGTACACACACAAAGTGGAAATTTAACACATTGAAGGATTGGAGCTGAATGTTTTTTGCATCAAGACAACAATTTTAATCATTTTTGACATTAATTGAAATCATTTTGTGTTGTGGAAAAGTATTACATGTGCACAGTCATAGCGCAAAAGCTAGCAAAATTATAGTGGTCACTGCACTTCAAAACATTGTAAGGTTTTTTTAATCCAAAAAAAGTGATTTTTATGCATAGGGATTCATATCAGAGTAGTGCTATGGAAAGGGGTCAGAATCTGTTATGTTTTGCAGTGGTTCAGCTACCAGAATTGAAAATGTATGAGATGATTGGAACACGGTCCTGACACCTAATTCAGAAAACTGATATGCGCTCTAGTGTTAGATAAGATCACAATGAAGTTATCCTATATAAGGAAATAACTCTGACCTGATTTAATAATTGGGGTTTGTACAAAGCACACGAGATAGAAATGTGAGCTTATTGATCTAATGAAAAGGACAAGTTTCTCTTTCCAAAGATAATTCATTACCTGATATGCGCTCTAGTGTTAGATAAGATCACAATGAAGTTATCCTATATAAGGAAATAACTCTGACCTACAACAATGATAAAGAAACATGAACATGACAAATGTAAGTAAATAAGTTGTGAGATAATCAGTTAGATAAGTACCTGATTTAATAATTGGGGTTTGTACAAAGCACACGAGATAGAAATGTGAGCTTATTGATCTAATGAAAAGGACAACTGATACATATATTGATTAGTAGCTATTCTATATGATGAGATAAGAGGATTACGTACGTTTCTCTTTCCAAAGATGGGAAAGAGAAACAATATAATAGATGAGAGCGGGATGGTTTAAGTAGTAATTCTTAGGAAAGTATCTACCATACGTCATTCATCTAAATCTGATAACACTTTGCGTAACTCCTATACATAACATTATGACACCTTTGCGTAACTCCTACGCATAACACTTTCTTTGACCTCGTCGATTGAACACCAACAAGAATGGACTCAAAATTTGTCATAAATTTGATCTTAGTTGAAAATGCTGAAAATCATGACAACTGCTTTTGTTATTGGAACCCCAGGGGCACTCAGAAGTCCAGTTTGCCTCTTGTGGCCTATGAGGTTTGAACTCCCACAGTGTTTGAATGTTTTTAACTCTGCACAGATTAGCCTCCTGTTTACACTGGCCACATAACACAGGATTGCCAACTCAAATTTTATGTTATGTAGTTATTAGGATGTTTCCCTAGGTGCCACAAATGTTTGCCAAGGTGGTATCTTTCAACTTGAACGACTATAGAGTGGCTATGCTCTCTTGAAAAAATATCATATGATATCTCCAATCTAAATGCTTTGTTAGGTGGGATTGCAATCAACACAGCTAAGCTCCAGCCCCAATATTGAAAATTATAATCTTTCTTACTTACATTTCTAGAAACCTATGATTGGATGTCTTGTTTCAATTGAAAAGACTTCAAGTAACAAGTTCTCTGAAACTGAGATTTGTTCTTGTTGTGATGTGATTACATCCTCATGTCATTAATTGCAGTGTCCAATCACAGAACCCGTCAAAAACTGGTTCAGATGAACTTACAAGAAGTAGAGCGCTGCTGACTTGCACTAAGTTTCTTTTGAAAAGCTTCACAGAACTGATTGTGATTGTGAGAGGCAGTTACCTAAATAGAGCAAAGAACAATGTCAACTCTTTCCATCTATGGGGAGAGGTTAGGATTTGATCTTGGAGATAAATAGCTGATTCTGAGCAGAGATTTCAAGATGTGAAAAAATCCTTACCTTGGACTGTGTGTACAAGTTTATCTAGTCCAATGATCTCTTGGATTTAAAATTTCAAGGTAACTTTGTTGGTGGTGATGCTCTAATGTTCAATTCATGGAATCCATTGTTAAAACAGCTTGCTTCATCTCAATTGACAATCTTTCAATGCTCAAAGATCTGATCATTATGCAACTCTTGACAATAACACCGAGGGGAAATTGACAAATATTTATTATAAATTTAATGCACACAGGAGTTTTTCTATCTTTCTATTTGTATTTTGATCAAATATTTCCTTTTAGATCATGAACCATATCAAAACCCTCAAAAGATAATCAAGAAACCACACACACAATTAATAAAAAAGTTGAGAGCATCAGATCATGTACTTTTTTTAATCTGTTTGAAGGGAGAGTTTAACTCTGAGTCTACCAGCCACATCAATTTCAGTGCCAAAAGCTCCTTTTGAGACTGCTACAACTTTGAAAAATCCTAAGCCAAACTTCTTATAACTTTGAGTCTGTTGTACAAATATGACAAATGGTTGTGTGATAGTCCACAGGGCACGTCTGAATCCATTTTTCATCTAGTGCTTTACAACTTTTGCAATACCCTATCCTTTGAATGTTTGTAAATTTGCACAAACCACCATCACATTGACATTTTCTACATACCTCCTCATAATTACAGGCACTTTCATCGTACCTTACGTTCTCCAGAAAGTGGCTACATTGGCTACATAACTCCGCCATGGTCATACCAGCCAACACCAGCACCCACAGACTGGCTATACACGCTTTTGAAAATATCATAGGGGATTTCGGATCTGAATGCTATGTTAGGTAGGCTTTCAATCAGTATAGATAAGCTCTAGTCTTAGTAACACTGATTACACTCTTGATTACTCACCCTGATTTCTTCTCACCTTAAGGTAGTCTTTGCAACTAAGATGTCTGCCTATATGATGTGAAGATATCATTGTTTCATCAGTCTCAGTATGCAGTAAAAAACAATCAAAACCGTGGTTTGGATTAACTTACAAGGAATATAGAGCTGCTGACTTGCACTAAGTTTCTTCAGAACTTCACAAACCTGCTTGTGAAGGTCAGAGGCAGTCAACCAGATAGAGCAAAAGACACTGTCAATATTTGCAGCTCATAGGGGTTTTTGGGTTTGATCTTGCAAATAAGAAACTGATTTCGAGCTCTCATTGCAAGATGTGAAAGAAAGAGTTCTTATCCTCACAAAAGACGTGAAAAAAACTAAAGTAAAAATGAGGAAGTGGATTGACCTTTATTGTGGTACTGAGTTGAAAGAAGCTGGAACGCAAGAACGGGAGTGAATTGATTTTAGTAAAAGAAAGAAATAGATTGATGGGAGGATTTTGAAATGTTTTGGAGTTCAATGAAAATAGAGCAAAGGGATTTTCCAGTCAGTATTAATGAAGGAACCCTCAAGCTGCTAAATTGCGAGAGAAACAGAAAGCTCTCGTTTGCCATACTCACTGATAAATTCCTCAAGTTGTATGTAGTCCAAAAACGATCTTGTTGAAGAGATTCCGATAATGAGAGCTGTCAATTGATAACTCAAGATATTTCCCCAGACAACGGTGGTACGAGCCTTTTTCTCCCCAAGATTCTTTTTGGATCTTATCGAGGACTGTGCTGTGATGTTTCCATGATATACATATTTATATCTTTTTTCTATTTGGCTACGTGTTGGAGATCACTCACGTAGCTGGCTCCCGAGAATTAGTGATAAGGTTCCTCTATCTTGCCCAGACTTTGAATCAAGATCTTATTTTGTGGCAAATGTTCCATTGTTCAATTCATATCTGATGGATCTTCTATATCACTCTGAGACATGGAATCAAACTCTTGTTTTTCGGGATATGTTCCATTGCTCAATTCATAGACTTCATCCTTTACAAAATTTCCTTCACTGCATTTGCATTATAATGATGCGATGAATACTTTTTTAAACCCAAATAATCAACCCAAATGGTTTTTTGTCAGATTGTTCCTTATAACGTACCAATATAGCAGGTTTCACAAAGCCTATCCCAAAAATTCCCTGCCAATATGCTCGAATCTTACGGCAAGATTAGGCAAGCGGTTTGGAATATAATTCATAAAGTTTTCCAAAAAAAATCACCTCAGGTACTTATCCAATCTGCGTGCTTCAAGCAGCTGTACAGAGACATTAAATCACAGCTGCTTGAGACAGTCTTTTCCCCTCTATCTCTCTGGAAGCTTTGGAAAATGAAGACATAATACACCCCAAAGTTACACACACACATACCCAAGGACCAAAGGGGACACTGTGCCTTCCATTGCATGCCTGAGAATTCTTTGAAAGGTCTTGTGCTTCAGCCTCAAGCATGAACAAGCTTGGCACAATAGTCAATTAACTTCTTGGTTAAAATACAAATATGGTTGATTGTTTTCTTGTTGCAAGAAAGTTTGCTCAAATTCTAGTTTGACTGACTTGGGTTCTAATTAGGGTTATGTCTTGACAAAAGACATAACCCTATTCAAATCTTTGAGAAAAAATGTAAGTAACCTCTGAATTCTTAAGAATGAAACATATAAGCTAAACCCATTGACCTTTTTCCAAGTTCAAGACTTCATCATGATGTGTATTTTGACCAAAAAAAAATGCATGTGAATAATGTGTTTTGATACAAAAGTGTTTACATTTTTCTACTTCTATTCATATTTCCAAAAAATCTAGTGTTTAAAATCATCATGAATTATTTTAAACCTATAAAATATATCAAAGAGTCTACACACTAAAAGATAAAGAAGTCAATGGTACATTAAGCTGGCTGCAATCTGAAGTGATGACTAAAGACCCCGGGGCAACGTACTGGGCTCGAGTCTCGAGATACGCTCGGTGGGGCTTTGGCTCTCAGAGTACCGATACCGAGAACTGTCAGTTTCGGGGAGCATCGGGATTTCGTATGTTCTGTGATAATTATCACATGATAATTATCACGGGAAATACATGCAGACATTTTACGGTGCGTGACACCCTCATGACAGCCCTGGATCTAGTCAGCTGTACGGGTAGATGCTGCGCGCGGGGCCATGGCACCGACCACGCTACCTCTCCCAACCCATAGCGTCGCGTGGTTGGTCACGTCTGTCCAAAACGTGTTTCGTCTTTCGAATTTTTTTCCACTTTCTGCTTTTGGACAAGGAAATACTTTATCGCTCCAGACCCTCTTTGACATGGCTGAGCAAAATTTTTATTGCCCAAGACCCTTTTCGTACACTGCCTTCCAAGCATCAATATCAATCAAACAATCGTCCCCAATGGCGTCTGTTCCATTTCACCTTCTTTTCAATCCGACCATCTGGCCACCGAGATCACCTCACTTCGTTTCCATTTCGCGACCTGCTAGCCCACGTCATGAAGCCTCGCAGCCCCTACATCGGATCGAAGTACCAGCGGATGCACCCATCCCACCCCCTTCCTTCACCTGCTCTTCCAGGCCATGTTGGCCTGGCTTGTCCCATGTGCACGGTCAACATTTCACTGATCTACATACCAGGTGGTGTGGATACGGTCAAGGTGAAAGTCAGTGTTCCTCCTTCTTCCAATCTGACCTATCTACTGGAAAAACTAATCGAGTTCACTTCTTTTTAATACCAACTCCGTTTCGATCACCCGTGGTTCCTACCCACCAGTGCCCAAAAAGCGAGCATTATTACCGAACCTTCAAGCTGAACCAACTTAACTACGAGCTCGCGCGGATCAACGCTGGCGAAAAGTATCCAATCCCTTACAACGCATCACTTCATGGGCCACCCCTCAACATCAAAGGCAAGTTTGTCGCCGAGCAAGTCAGTCCAAAGAGTGCTTCCCAACGTGCGCAACGTGCCGCCCCGTCACAACTGTGTGCTCGCGCCCGCGATGGTCCCACCGCCGAGAAGCACAAAAGCGCGGGTCATACTGGATGTACGCAAAAGTATTGTAAGGCGGTAAGTAATCTCGTTTCCTCCATCATGTGCCTCGCTCATCATTTGGACCCTTTTGGGAACCTAGTGCTGCCATGCATATGGACCGCCTGGCACATGCTATGTTCATCGCATGAAGCCTGAGGGATCCCAGGATGCCACTCCAGCGCCATCCCATCGCTCGAGCACCAGCCATGCTCCTTCCTCGACAGTACCCCAGGCCAAACGAGCCCGTATAATCCCGGAGCAGTGCGCGCAGAGTGTTGGCCGAACCGGACACGTGCTGAACGAAGATGGCGAGCGGGTCCTCTCAAACGCCCGGAAATTGAAAGAAGACATGGTTAGAAAGGCATCGGAGCCTCGTCTTGACCCGAGCAAGGTTGTCAGCTTACATCTCGTCACTCAGGTAGGTGTTGTTTCTTCATATACTGTTGCATCCATCCTGACAGCTTCATCTATATTTGTAGCCCACAACCCCGGTCATTACGCAGCATTTTCCGACCTGGCCTCTCATTGCGCTAGACGAATGCGAGTCCCTTGTGCGCAAGGCGAAAGCGGCTGCTGGACTCTCTTGGAACGGCCATATCCTAGTCTGGGATGAACAACTGAAAAACTGGGTGAGTCTTTTTGGGTATCTCTTCGCGCCGACTTCAATTTGACCTTTTTTTTGGAATGCTTGCAGCGGGACATTGCACTCACTTTGCCGCATCAGTACACCCGCACAGCCAAAAATCTCGTTCTTTGTCTTCCAAGCCAGCGCCACGCCCTAGCCAAAGAAGTTCAAGACGTTCTTGAAAGCTTTGGTCTTGGGAAACCTTCTATTCCTAAAGCTCCTGTGCAATCTACCAAGGTTCCCAAAGCTGAACCTTGGTCTCCGCCCCGATCGGCCACCCACGTTGCAGGATCATCCCTTGGACCAATCGAGATCCTCGATTCAGATTCGCCTTCGGATACGGACGACGCGCCAGAGCTAGACACAACTCCATCAAAGCTCCCTTTCAACACACCGTCAGGCGACGCCAGTTCAGACAATGTGACTCCCGACTCGTTTCGGCACTTGGACCCCGCTTTAACCGGGAACCTGTCAGCCCAGGTGCGTCCATTTGTTCTTCTCCTTGAACAACTGCCACTTCTCATCATATCATGAAGGCTGTCTGGCTTTCTTATATCCTCCCCCAGGTCCTAGCAGCCGACCAGAAGCCCTTCAATTCCAGCAGTACCGAAGCCCCGGTCCTCAAAGTGTGGCCCGGAGAGGAGGCCATGACGTTCACACTACTCGCATGGCATCATGCAGTCGGAATGCCTGCAATCCGTGCGCGTCGTATACCTTACTGGATTAATTTTTTTGGAACCGAGTACGAATTGGAGGAACAAACCGCTTATCGCTACGCGCACTTTGTAGACAAAGTCACTTATCCAAGGTTCAAGGCTTGGCTTGACAGCTGGCCTGAAGAGGGTGAGAAAAATCGCTACAATATCACAGTCAGTGAGGCGCGGCGGCATTTTCAAGCTGAGTTCAAAGCAGTTACTGGTTTGAAACAACCTGATGATCCAAGCGCCCTTCGGAAACACAAAGAGCAAAAGGCCCCTCGGCCATCGAAGAAACGCAGAACGAAGCAATGATGGTAGCCTCTTCCTTCACTTAACATACATTCTGCTTTCCTATTCACATTATACATTTTGCGTTCTTGCCTTTCATAATTTCTGTGGCATGATGACTTTGTTGTTGGGTTAGTTGTTTGTGTTTGGGTTTGCGTGGGGTGGGTTGGGTTTGGCTTTGGAAAAAAAAAGGTGTTATTTGATTTTATGGTCCATGTTCTTTATCTTCTTTGAAACAAAGAAGACAATTTTTGTTTTTGTTTGTTTCTCTCTTCAGCTCAATTGGATCTATATACAAACAAACAATGATGATCAAATGGTTAAGGGGTTTGATACCAATTGATCATCATTACACAAAAACCAAAAAAAGGAACATTTTTTGGTTTTTCTGTTGGTTTTTTTGATCTTTGTGTTTTATTTTGGGTTGGGTGAGTTTTTCAGTTGGTTTTTGTAGACACTTTATTCATTGAGATTGCATTGCATGTATTCTGGTTTGAAAAGTGAGTACAGTTTAAAACAACAGAGTAACAGTTGATGGATGTTAAGTGTTTGATTGAAAGTGGTGAGGATCATGTTGACCACACCCATTTCAATTGGTTTGGTGGTAGTGTGTGATGAGGGTGTGTTGTACAGAAGATTTCATGGTTTGGATGATTGAGGTGACAGCTCACATCAAATAAAAAGATGTGAGAATCATTAATTTTTGGGAAATACAAAGTTTTTGGGTGTTTCACTTTGTCATTAAGGGTCAGTTTAGAGCGAGTGTATGTGATCAATTTTGAGAACTTTATTTGAACACCCCCAGGTGCGTCCCATTGACACGACGTGAGACATCCAGCTGTTACTCCTTGTGTCTGTTTCTCTTTCCCAGCCCATTTTACACACTTTAAAAGACTTGAAGGAGTGCAGAATTTCTGTACAAACCAACGGTCATTATATGGGACTGCAAATTTGATGCATTTTGATTCATTGGCAATTCACCTGTGTTTGACCTCAGACCAGAATGGAAAACATGACTTGGCGATGACTGGAAGCGTTCCAGAAAATGGAAAAAGACCAAGTAGGTCCTTGCGTTCCTGGGTCCGCGATGGAGCGGCTCGCCAAAGCTCTTCTAAACCACCTTTGACAGTGGAGGAAACTTTATGTAAGAAGCACCTGGCGTAATCGGTTGTTGGGTTCCAAGTGTAAGAATCAACTGTTAATGTGTCCAATTCGAGTAAGTCTTCCTCATGCTGCAAGAACTGAGCATGCATCTCGTTCGCCATGGTGATGTTGTTCGAGCCGAGTCCGTAACCTGCGCAAGCATGTGGATTTTCTCAAGATAACAGACGTAAGTTATAATAAAACCAACCTCTCATCGTTTTATCACCCTTCACCATTTCATTCTTTTCACTCTTCATTATCTTTCCGTAAAGTCTCTTATCATGGCTAGCAGCCCCCCTAATTCCCAACGATCCAATGCCTCCGAGACCTCTGCTCGACCTATCCAATCAACCCCACTTCGTCGTTCAAGTAGGCCACCAACTCCTCGTAAAACCATCCCTGGAATGATACAACCTTCTGCCGACAGCCAAACCACAATTCCTCTCCCGCAGCAATCCACCAGTGGTACATCGAGGGTACAAAATCGAGCCAAACAATCCCAGACGACAACCAGTGCTCCCGGTTTAGACTCTTCACAACATTCGGCTCCAGCATCCTCTCTGAAGCGGAAACGTCCTTCAAAGGCATCACAGGTGAGTACATAAGTCTCTTTACAACTATGCTTGACACTTGTTACTGATACCCAATTTTAATCACATTTGATAGCCCCCTCGCGAAGACATACCACCTGAGGACAAAATGAATGAAGACTCAGAGGACGGCCTGTCAAAACGTCAGAAGTTGAAGCGAGCAGAGGCCCTTCAAGTAAGCAGCAACAATGAAGAAGAGAACCCGGAGTATACTCCCGCGCGCGAGTATTTTGGCGACCCTTGGAAATCCAAGAGTGGACCAGAATGGAAAACATGACACTTACTGGGTCTGGACTATCACACTTGAATCATTACTTGGTAATTGTACTACAAATGTCGTAGTACAATTACCAAGTAATGTAACTTTCCATTCCCACAAGTTTTTGAGACATCAAAAGTTCTGTACCTCTCAGGGTGTGGACAGGAAACGACACTATCACTCCTTAACTTTACGATATAAATTGTAGGTAGACATATGTGTGTGTTGTCTAATAAATCTTGTGTGTTTATCCTTGCAAATCTTTGTTTGAGGCATGCCCACCGTTTTAGCATGGTGGCCTTTAAACATACATGAATTGTGGTTGCTTGTCTCATGACCGTTTGGTTCTTTGTTATGGCACACTGTCTTTCTTTAAACAAACATGAATTGTGGTTACATGAACAATACCCCTTTAAAGCGCGCGTTGCTATGGCACGCGCCCTTTAAAGGGACATTTCTTTGAGTTGATTGAAACAAAAGCCATTGGGTCATTGTTATGGCACAATTATTGTTCAAGTGACCACAATGGGAGTTACTTGAACAATAATTGAGTGTTCATTGTGATGGCACAGTCCCTTTAAGTGAACAGCCATTTGAGTTTGTTGAAAGCCAAAAACCAAGCCCTTGTTTTTTGCACACTGCCATCCATGGGCATAGCCGTCACAATGAATCACTTGATAACAATCATTTCATTGTGACGGCAGACATACTGTCTTTAAACAAAGAACAATGGTAGTTGATTGAACAAATCACAATTGGCTCTTTGTCATTACAAACTGCTTTGGAGACAACCACCATTCATGTGAGATTGATAGCAACATTTGGGAGCAGCAAGTTATTTGATTGTGATGTTGGAAGGGCAAATCAGTCAGCTGTGTTGGTCTGGCTGAATTGTCCAAACTTGCTAATGAGTCTTTTCCCGTCGAAAAATCGGGAAAAGAGAGTGTCCACTTACTTTGAGTAAAAGCTTATGAAACAAACATTATTCCTTTGATTGACATAACACAATGGCAACCTGTCCTTGTAGAAACCAAAAGCCTAGTTCCATTACTCAATCAAACACAAATTATGAGCTTACAAAGCAAAAGATTGGCTGAAAACAATGTCAGTTTGTCAGAAAACTTTTGTAGTATAAAGTTTGATACGGCCACCAAAGCATGGTTTGAACATGCCCCAAACCATGCTTTGGTGATACATCAACAAAGCATGGTTTGGACCAATCAAAAGCACCGATGGGTTACCACTACCACAATGACAGCATCCAAACCCAGTGGAGAGGCTACCCATATGCATCTCATTTGTATCATGAGTATTATGCATGAATTGGACCTTCTGTATAATTATTCCCTCTGAATAATGAGACAGTTATCCACCAGAACAAAGTTATTGCTGCTGTGGCACGGCACACTTTGGTCATACCATTTTTTTTTCATTGATGTCAAACGAGTGTGGTGCACAAAGCAGAGAGTCTAACAAAAAGCGCCAAAAACACACAAATTTCAAGCAAAAAGGAACAATAAAGGAGTGAGGTGAGGTGAAACCAGAAGCAGAAAGTGCTTCCAAATGAAACACATACAACCAGTCACACAAATCAAAGAAAAAGTCATCCAAGGAAGAGCAATCAAAAATAACTGCTGAACTACAACTAGGATCCTGCAGGTTGTTTCATTCCAACGCGCCTACACAGGCTGTTGCAACGGTGATCACTTTCAAAATCGGATATTCTGCCAGAGAAGTAACCAGCATGCCAATCGTACCTATAGTAATGTGATGAGCAAACACATAACATGTGACAAACATTATAAGAAGATTCTGGCTCACTTCTTATCGACAATGAGAGAATGAAACAGTGTCCATCCAACGTATTGAAGTCCGTTGATCACCGCTGCCTTGTTTGTACGCCAGTACGTGTAGTGCGTGAAGGTATTGAGGAACTCTAGCATGGGGACATTGCCTTCGGGGGAGGGAATAACTAGTGTCCGACGTCTTATGGACCTTACCTTGCAACCTCTCCTGCAAAGTATACATGTCATGCATTCCATGATTGTTCCGGTGTGCAAGCACATGGTTTTCGGCAAACTGTGAAATCAAAGAAACAAGTCAAATCAAAGAAGTAACATAATCGCGCAGGGGGGGGGGATTCACTCACTCGAACATTGGTGGCCAGCTGTGCTTCGGCCACAGTTAAAAGTGAAGGGATTTCTTTGAGCTTCCCTTGGAACAGATTTAATAGCATAGTTGTGTGATACTTTTCTTGACACAACATGAAATGTGATCGCTCCGAGTCCGAAGCAAACGCTTGGACTTCCACTTGCAAAGAACCCAAGTCATTTCTTCCCCAAGGACGATGCATTTCGGCGGGGAAGGTTGAAGCCCAATCCCAATACCTGATAGGCTTGGCCAGATTGATGTCAATGTACGTTTGGGTCGACCTAAACGAAAACTCAGCCGTTTGGCCAACAGTCGCGGTTTGGAGAGTGAAAATCCATGAGGTGTGAAGGTCAATGGCAGGTGTTGGTAACACCAATTCTCCCAAAACCTCCCGCGCAGTTGCAGCGTCTATTGGCGGGGCCACAAAATTGCCTAATGGATAACTAACACATTAGTGGGCATACCTTTAGTTTGGATGGCAGGGCGTATGACGTACAGTTGACTACAATCGGATCCGGTAAAATGGTTGTTGGGCCAGCGCTGAGAATGCCACCTAAGTGCGCCCCAATCATGTGAGTATAAGTCTATAATTGCATGAGCGCCACAGTTATACGTTACTCACGTCGGAAGCGCCTGGTATCACGCGGGGAAAGCAGTTCCATCAGGTGTGGGAGGTCGGCATAGTCGTCGTCTTGGGTCAAGGTGTGCATGATGATTTAAGGTGATAGGAAAGGGCGGCGAGATAGTAAGTGCGAGATTGTGAAGTCAAATCGCTGCTGGGTCTATCTCTATCAGCATCGTCCCATTTATACTGAACATGAATGGGACAGACCAACCATTTATCCATCGAAACCTGGTTGGGACCGTGGCAAATGCTTGGCGAAATCGAACGCATGGCATGGGGATGACCATCGGCTCCTACCGAACCACGTCAGGTACTTTTTACCAAGGCATTGGTTAAGCACCCCACGGTCAGTTCAAGTTGGTGCAACAGGCAACCATTTTATGGATAATTAACTATACATCATCGAAAATGGTTGCTTCCTACCGATCAAATTTTCCAACGGGTATCGCACTGCAAGAAGCCCAATGAAAACCTGAACATTATCCATTCAGTAAGTAAAGTTCAAAATCAAATTAAGGTGAGAGAAATCCGCACCTTAATTTGGTCCAATCGGAATATGAGCGTGGCGTAGTAAGCGTTTGAGTTAATCTTGTAGCTAAACATCCTAATGAAGAACTCAAGAATTAAAATGATCATACTTGCCCGGTTGATTTTGGAGGATAATGGGACTGGTGAGCTTGGAAGTCAGATGATCGTCCACATCAATGTGGGTATTGATGTGGGTGAGATAATTGATAGGATCGAAAGGAATCTCGATTGTGGTTGAGGAGAAGAGAGATTAATAGAGAAGTGATCAACGAGTTTTGAATGAATAAGAAAAAAGTTTTGATAAGTTGAAATAGGAAAATCTTGTCCATACTGGCCTACAGCCATAGATGTCCAACTCGGGAACTGTCCCAGCAGATTAGCAAGCGCAAATCCCTCTCTATGAATAAACCTACCAATCATACTCCTCACTCTTCCTTGTGATCTTATTCGAATCTTGACTTGTTTTGGTTTTTTTGAATTCAAATGAAATTCAGATAATATGATTTGATTTCGAAAGAGGAACCCATGAAGCCAATCGGGGGCCAAAGTGCTGTGGAACGATCAGGTGGAAGCGTTAACCACGTTAACATGATGATATCATGTTAACGTGGTTAACATGAGTGATGAAAGCAAGTTGGAGTGAGATTACACTTCTTGCCATTTACGCGTGATTGAGCATCAGAGATGCATCAGAGATTGAGAAAGAATTAATGCATAAGGCAATGCATTTCTTTGAAAAACTACAACTTTTGTACCCCAATGTATTCCACTGATTCACGAGTACCTAGAGCAGCACTGAACCAATCGTTGCGTAATTCAACCATCTCTTCAAGGAAAAACTCATACCTTGTTCCTTGCATGTTGCAGCACATGGAAGCAAAACCACCGTACCAAATATTACTTAACTCTCCAGCTGAAGAGTTAAATATCCAGGAGCCGTCCTTTTGCAGGTCGGGAAAATTTTTGGGGCTTGTGTATCTTTGACAAAAATGATCGCTGACTTTGTGCGACGCATGATGGAACGGGTCGACCGGAATAATGGTGTTTTCGAACGGAGTCGGATCCTTCTCCCCGTTGTGAATCACCCGCAGTAGGGTGCACGCATTGTCGTAGAAGACCACTTCCGGTAGGCCTTCTGGAAAAGCCTCCAATAGGTAGTCCTGTGATGTGTGGTCGGGGGGGGTAAACACACATCAGAGAATGGAGAGGATGCTCAGGGAAAATGGTTCTTGCTAACTGACCCGAAGAGCACTTGGGGCTTCGGCGTTGTAAAACGTTCGCCGACTGAGGATGATTCCACACGTACCCACAATCAGCTGATTGTTGTGAGTACGGCAGCGGCTACAGGACGGGTTTTTTTTTGGCTTGGCGGCGCCACCGTCCCGGGCGCCTTCGTGAAGGCGATCAGCTTCGTCGGCGTTGTGAATTTCGTCCAAGTCGATTATTTCGGCAGTGAAGGGGTTCAGGTGCACAGTCGGATCCGAAGGGAGATTGGAGCCGGGACGGTTGAGCATTGCCTTGAGGGCAAAGTTCTTCTTCTTTCGCGCTTGAAAATCGGCAAAGGCGTTACGGTGATCTTCATTGGAACATGTTTGGGAATCTGCTTCCGCGAGGTTGGTGCACGGTTGTGCCCAACACCATCCTTTCAAAGAGACCTCATGTGCGGCACAGAACCGAGAGGTAACCTTTGGCAAAGGATTTAGGCATGGGCCATTTGGGGGGGGATTGCCAGATCGATAGGCAAGCTCTTCAAGCTGCGCTGAAGAGGCCGTGCATTGCCAGTGCCCGATTGTAAGTCCATCGGTGACAACCGCTCGAATGACTAATGTGATGCACGAAGTCAGTAGGATGATTTCAAAGCGTTCTTTTTAGATAAGTGAGATGAGCGAAACCTTTGGTCGCTTGCTTGCCGTCTATTTCGATTGGGTATGCTTTGACACACAAAGAGCAAAAGTGGTCGCGTAATTCTGACCCGTGGTCGGCAATGTAGTGGAGTTCTTGAATAATGGCTGGTAGTAACCGGTCCTCCTGTTCACCACGGGCACTTACTTGAAGGACGTCACCCCGGCGAGAGTAGCGTCGAAGTAGGCTCCACATATCAGTTGCGTCGCGGGCAACTTCTTGGGACATTCGGGGTGTAATTGTCGGGAGTGCCGAGTGGGTGGGTATGTCCTGGTTCGATACGTAGGTGAGGTTGAATAGATTCACAAGATTGAAAGTGGAGATACTATGAAAAGTAAAAGCAATCAATAAGAAGTTCTTCAAAAAAAACATAATGGGAGAATACTGACTGGGCAAGCATCTGACAGTGTCGAAAGTTCTTGGCAAGTTGGTGAGACATGGCAAAGTGGCAGTGCACCTGGAACACATCACGGTGTCTCCCCTGGGCTTCAGTGTAGTAATACCTGGTTTTATTGGTTATGTAATACAAGGGGCGGTAGGTGGTGCTACAATCTACATGCAGGAGTTAATGGGAAAAATAAGTGTTTATATATTATATACACGGCTCTTAGGTGAAGGCAAACACTGTACCTGAGCAAACGCGGGTGTGAAACTCCGCTGAGTGGATGCCATCCAAATCATACACGTAGCCTTCTCGTCGGGGGCGTAAGTGGAGGTTGCGCTTGGAAGGGCTGTCGCACACAAGGCAGGCAGAGATGGGTGGTGTAAGATAGAACTCGTGCACCTTGGTGGTCAGGTGGTGGGTAAGACCGTGCGAGCGAATAAGGGCGCCAGTATCAATCCAAGAGAACGGTAGGGAAGGGAATGACAGGTTCCAAAGTGCTTTGTAATCGGCCAAGTCCATGTCTAGGTCGAGGGCGAGCTTGAGGAATGGAAGTATGCGAGTATCATCCGAAGTGAAATTTAACGCGCGGTCTGCTCGCTTGTACACGTCGCTTGCGAGGTTGACGAATTGGATGAGTTGCGAAAGTGTCAGCTTAGTTGCCAAAGTTGCGGAAATCTCGTGCAGCCGTGTCACCAAGTCGGTGAGCAACATTGTGGAAGACAGGTAGTTGACTACACAATCGGCTGGAAGGAATCAATCATCTCATTCTGATGTCAGCATGCTCTGTCAAATCCTGAGGTGAGTGAGGTACTGACTCGGAGCTAATGGTGCTGATCTCGTATGTAGTATTGATGATGGTATGGTATCAATAAGGTGGTGTGGGTGGGGTGAAGGGATGTTCTTTATGGTTGAGGTGGATTTGGTCATGTTGTTGAATGTAAAGGAGGATTGATTGGGTGATGTGATAGCCGAATGCATCCTAGCTGCAAGGGGGCACGGGGTATGTATGGCGCGTCGCGATGCGTGGGCCAGGGGTGAGGATGTTGGTGTAGACCCATGAAAGTGGGACAACCTCAGATCACGAGGTGCGCAGGCAAGAGTGACCGGTGTGCTTGTGGGTGAGATGTATTGCTACTTACAAGCATTGGCCCCGGGGCTGCCTATGCTAATGAACCGTTTTATCAGGCGACCTCTGATACACCACAAAGACACGCGGATGTCCCAGGGACGACCGGTTATTGTTGCAGGGGGAGGGACGTCCTGACGAAACTGATCCAAGGAGCCCGGATCAAAACAGGAATTTGGGACGTCCCACGGGCTTCCAAAAGTCTTCCCATGTATCCTACATAGGGAGTCCTCAAGGTGCCTCTACGGGCTGTGCTGAGAGCTCCGCATATGATTGAACTGTTGGGACACTCGGCAGTAGTCATGAGGATGTCCTTACTGATCAACTCTAGGGCCGATTGAAGCACCGGATTGTACAATAGACACAATATCAAAATGGTATCTAGGCTGTCCTAGAGATGGGCTTCTCACTCGTCTCACACACCTGCTATCAGACCAAGGAGACAGCTTCATAGACCTTTTTTATGAGAACAAATTATACTACATTTCAATGCGGTTAAAGGAGAGAACATCGAAGACTACTTATTGAATGCAAGACGCTAATAAAGAGTTTGAAAAGAAACAAATCTATCAAGCAGGATCAGAAAATGACAATTGATCTCAAACTATTTAAATGATATCTTCATGAGAGGTGAGAGCAATCAAATCGATCCTACAAGAACTAAAAGGAAGACGCTCCAATCACTGATAGCCCAGTGGAATCGAAATGTCAAACGTTTTTGAAATGAAGACTTGATTTTGGATTCGAGACATGTATAAAGAGTTTTACAACAAACAGCCCTGTCAAGCGAAATCAGAGTGATGATCGAGCTCAAACCATTTTGATCGATTCACGAAAGGTGGGAGCGACAAAATCAAGATTCGAGACATGTATAAAGAGTTTTACAACAAACAGCCCTGTCAAGCGAAATCAGAGTGATGATCGAGCTCAAACCATTTCGATCGATTCACGAAAGGTGGGAGCGACAAAATCAATCAAAGATGTACTGAAAGGACCTTCAGCTCCAATCACTGATAGCCAATTGGAATTGAAATGTGGTAAATTGGGCTAATTGTAATCCTGAAGATGATGATAGATTCAAAGTGATTCAAGCAAACGAGGTATAGTTAAATTGGAGTAGGTTTTCAGTGGATGAAATGATTCAGCTTACAGAGTCTGATGGATAGGCTCTGATGAGTAAGAAGACCTGAAATGCCAAGTTGAAGTTTAGTAGGAAAGGGTTATTGGTGTTGAAAGCCTCTCATGACTTGGAGTTTGAGTTGGTGGTCTGGTGTGAGGGATGGATCAATTCAAGAATGATGATGAGGATAAAGCTATCAGGACAAGGAGTTCGGAACGTTAGAAGTGTTGTTAGCGTGAAGCAAGTACAATAGCATGTAATTTATCAATCATGTTGAGTTCGATGAGAAGTGGTGACAATAGGGGTTGGGGGAGAAGGCGACCAACCAGTTTCCAAACCCTGTTCAATCGCAGTTCAAATCTTTGGGAACGCTTAAGAGATGGCTCGAAATCAATATCAAAGCCACACAAAACCAACACACCTTTTTATCCAACTTTTTGCTTTGCAAAAATGTTGACCGGTATGGTTGGTTTTGTGATCACGCCACCGCTTCAACCGTTCAAAAGCTCTTACAGGGAAAGCAATTTGCGGCGCCTCAAGCCTCGCAAACGCCCTTTTTGCACCTTTTACAGATCCGTGAAAGGTGCAAAATCTTGCCCGAATTCTTCAAGCTGAGCTATCGGTGGGGCTGGAGGAGAAAAATCACACCCAAAGGCTGAATTTGGGTCTCTTTGGGTAACCCGGCACAGCGACGGGTCTGTGAAACCTGCCCCCAGTTGATTTCGGCCATCTTCGGCTGTTTTCGATTTAATTCTCAAGGGCGCAAAACCGGTTGGTCAGTTTTTCGCCCAACCCCTGATGAGATTTGATGAAAGTAATGTTGGTTGGAACTTTGTGAGATGAGGAAGGCAAAGCGGACTTATGAATTCTCAAGCTGTTTCCCCCTGTCCCTCCGATTTCTTCCTTTTGTTTATGTACAGTAGGTAAAGCCTACTGTGTACTACCTTCTCACCAGCCAAACGAAATTTTGATTTCAAGCTCAAAAACACATGACACAATGCCATCATCTCAAGCTGATACCTAGACAGGTAGAATCAGAAGGTCAAGCTTAATCAATCCATATCTTCTTGGGATGATCTGAGGCACTGATCTTTTTTTTTTTTTGTAAATGGTCAACATTTGGGCCCAAGCATAGGCTAGGTACTTAAGCTACTTAAACTAGGTACTTAAGCCGCTTAGGCCATACCTAAGCACTTAAGTACCCAGGATGGACGAATATGTACGATGCCCACTCTGCTTTAAGTCTGCCTGGTGCAGTGGTGTGAGCACCAGTCAATCCAGTTGTGATGAATCTGGGGTGACCTGTGTTCTATCTTGCTTGAAGATAGGTTTTGCTGGCACATTATTTTGAATCAAAGCATTCGCGATTGATGCTCAATCACATCTTGATCGAAGTTATTTCTTGCTCGACCTCGATGTCTTAACCTTGAAAGAGGTGCAGCAAGCCTCTTCGTGACTTTTAAAATGATTACACAATCAGAAGAAGCATAGAAAAGCACAAAAAACATTGACTTTCATGGTAAGGACTGTGATGAAATAGAAGAGAAACAAGTGAAAAGAACCCAAGTCAAGAGACTCGAGAGAAAGAAGAGTAACAACTGAGTTGAGAACAGTTGAGAAAAAGGATAGCGATGATTCAAAAAGACCGAGTAAAGACTGTTAAGAAAAAAGTAATTGGCAAGTAAGAGAAGATCAACAACCAAAAGTCAAGAAAGAGAGAAGCGAGCGTTAAAAAGGAGTGAGCGAAGACAGTCGAGCAAAAGTAGTGTAGACAAGCTTCAGTGAGATGTAAAAGGAGTGTACTTAGAATGCTGTGCATTGATCATCAGTTAACTATTGAACTGAGTCGAGGATCTAGTTACAGAGCACATCCACACGCATGAAAGCGTTTTTAGGGATTGTGCGATGACCTCGGTAACGCTTGGCCATCTTATCGGCTTCAGCACCAGTCAGACCGTTCCTACGTGATAGCATTTACAAGTCAGCTGTGAAAAAGATAAGTGATGAAATTGGGGAACCTACAGATAAGCCGAGTGCTGTCGATCGATTTTGCAAAAATATCTTCGTATGACGTCTAAGGGGCAAGATTGTCGGACTTTCTCAAAACAATCTTTGGCGTGCTGGAAGGTTTTGCACTCAAGTGAACCGCGGCGATATTCTACAAATAAGAGAACATTTAGCTGTTTGGCATCAACAAGAAATTGTAAAAGAAAGACTCGCTGTGTTTGATGTATCCCCAGAAAAGCTCGATTGGGTTTAGATCACAATGGAACTTCGGTAAGAACAAGCAGATGTGGCCAGCTTCCTCGATTACCATCTGAAGCATAGGCTTCTCATTTAAAAAGCCGGATTGTAATGAAAGAATCCTATACCAGCAGCAATCACTGCTTTTGATCCCTAGCTCTTTCCTCACACCACATTGTTCTTCGGACACAAAGAATCCACGTGCTTCGGCTTCTTGAATGTGTCGAATGGATCTGTTCTTTGCATCTTCGCTTACTCCTGAAGCTTTGCACTTGGTGCACTTTGTCAGTAGCGGAGGTTGTCCCAATGAAGCGACTCGCGTTTCATGATAGTCCCAAAGGCCTTGTTCTTCTAATACCACCTTCATGCCTTTTGGCTGTCCTCGAAGGTCAGTAATATGGTAATCAGATGGAAATACCATATGCTGGGTCTGTCCGTGAAGCTCGGTTGGGATGAAAGGATCATCCGAAGGGATGGTTGTAACACGTAGATGACCTTGTTTCCCACCAGAGCTAAGATTCATCTTTTGGACTTGTAGTGCTGAGGGACTGTATGCTTCATGAGCTGAAGAGCAATCAAATATGAAAACCCCCTGACAATCCGGATTCATTGATTCAAAGATTGGGAGAGCTCGTGTTTTGACTTGATCAATCAATTGTTTCATGTCCCACCACGGGTCTCCTTTAGTTCCTGGGTATATGACTACTGCAGCGTCATTGATGTCGGGTAGCACAGGTTGATATCCATTGCATTTGAGATCACACACTCGATCGGCGGTTACCATGAGTCGGCCAGTGGTCTTACAGATGAAATCTGAGATATGAATCAATCGGCCTTGATCTTTAGATCGGAATTCAGTGGTTCCAGGTAAGAGCCATGAAAGTCGAGGACGCTCCTTCGCATGTACAGTAGACTCGTCGTGGTACACAAAGACGGTCTCACGCAGATCACCGAGTTTCTCTGGATCAACTGGAGTTGAGTTTTCGAGGTTGGCCCCAACATACACCCGAGATCTCTTTCGAAGCTCTTCAAACTCGGCCAAGAACTTCTTTCAATATTCGACAACATCCTGTCGCTCGTGTCCATCAAAGTATAATGATTTCTTGTACTCCTGGGGCCTATAACCAATCTTGTACATCCACCGATAGGCAGTTACTAATGAGATGGTCCGTCCAGGGTGAAATTGAGGGAGAGCTACAGTATTGACGTAATCACAGAAGC